GGACATGACGACGTTCTCGAAAAGGAAGGATAGACGGCGCCCGGCGAGGAGGGCGCGAAGCTCATCCATGAAGACGATGGCGTCCTGGAAGAGGCGCCCCCGATCTCCGTCGTGCCCGGCGCGGGCACCCACTCGAGAGAAATCCTGACAAGGAGGCGCGGCCACCCAGAGGATCATGGCCTCGTTGTTGGGGTCGGCCTCCCGGATCAGCTTCGCCACCTCCTAGGCGGACGATACCAACCAGGGCACTGCCCCGATGCCGCGGAAAGGACGATGATGCGATCGCCCTTGGGCTTCCCCGGCGTGAGGCGAACCCGCTTAGCGGGGCTAGGGTCGGGTGCCGCCTAGCGCCACTTCTTTCCGCCCTGTGGGGCGGCCCATCGCCCTGCGCTGATTCTGACCCTTGGCGGCGTCGGGCTGCTCCCAGGACGAGGCGGACCAGGAATGGGAGGCCCAGCCGTCCGACCCGGAGTGTACCATTGACTCTGTTTGGCCCCCTTGCCGCCCTTGGCCCTTGGGTTCCTGCTGGCGGCCGCCCTTGGCGCCTTTCTTGCCGCCCTTGGCCCCATTCTTGCCCTTGCGGCCGGGGCGGATGCGCTTGGGCGGGGGCTCCACCCAGGAGTCGTCGGCGTCGGGGTTCGTCTGGGTGGGCTGTGGCCTGCCCTTGGTCCGCCCTTCTGGGCGGGACGGCGCCACGGTCACCGCCTCGAGGTACGAGGAGACGTCCGCCATGATGTCGGCGGTAGCGTCCTTGAAGGTCCTCTTCGATCTGGCGGAGGTCCATGGCGAGGCGCATCGCCATGGAATCCCAGTAGGATACCAGGGCGAGAAAGTTCGCATTTCTGCCCCTCGCCCGGCAGTCCCACCAGGCGATGTAGGACTCGATGTCCTCCTCCGCGCCCAGTTGGACGAGTATCCAGGCCCACTTGACACTTGACGGCTTCGAGCCCGTCGCAAATGGCGATGACGGACTTAGGCTGCCACGGCCTCTTCTCCTCCCCCACAAGGCCCAGCGGCAGCTTTGAGTCGAAAAAGTCCGCCCCAGGGCGGTTCTTCGGCTGCCGGTAGCGATCCCACCTCTCCTTGACCGTGAGAGGCGTGCCGTCTTGGCGATGGAGGGACCGGTTTTTGGTCCCATAGCCGCCGCGGCCGGAGACCCTGGGCGTCTCACTGGGCGGCACGCCCGCGCAGGCCGAGGACGCCCCAGGCGAAGCCGCCGCCGGCGCCGGAAAAGACGAGGAAGCCTTCGACGGCGTAGACGATGAAGCAGCGGCCGGTGGCGGGACGCCCGCGGAGGCGCTTGGCGGATGGTCTCGCTCCGGGTCCGCCCCCCACTGCGGGACGATCACCTCCGGCGGCTGTTGCCCTGCCGGCTTGGCCGGGGGCGGCGGTGTGGACATCTCCTGCAGCTCGCGCTGGATGCGGAGCTGCAGCATCTCGTCGTAGGAGACGTCGAAGCCCATGGGCCCCATTCGGAGGGCGTTCTCTTGATCGATCGCCCTACGCTGCCGCTCGTAGGGCGTCGGCTCCTCCACGGCTGGCGCCGCCGCCGGTGGCGGGACGGGCGCCTTTTTGACAGGCGGGGGCCCCGAGGAAGGCGAAGCCGATCCAAACAGCCCGGACGGCTGGCGCTGTGGAGCCTCCTGGTCGCCCGCCCCCGTGTCAGGCTCCACCACAAGCGGGGGGGGCGGCGCCTTGGCGAAGGGCTTGACCTTGGGAGCCTCCCCCTGCCCGACCAGCTCGGGAGGCGGCGGCTTCTTCATCGGCTTGGCGACCACTGGCTCGGCCGGTGCGACCACGGAAGATGCCGACGTGGTAAGCGACGAAGAAGGAGGCGGAGGAGGCGGGGGCGTCAGCCCCTTTGCCGTAGGCCACCGCACCGTGGCGCCCGCCGGGCAAAACGCCCCAAAGGGCATAGGCAGAGTCGTGTCGGGCGGGGCCTTGGGCAAAGCGCCCGAGAAGCCGGCGAGGTAGGCGTCCAGCCAGGACTCGCCCTCCAGGTCGGCGTCGTCATCATCAGGGACGGCGATGTTGGCCGCCGCCGCAGGCTCCGCGACCTGATGCATCGCCTCCTGGTCGGTCCAGTACTGCCTGGCCTCTGCGGCAGACGGGCCGGGAACCACCGACGACTGAGCCCCGGACGGGGCGAGCCAAGCCGCCACAGGCCCATCGCCCGCTGGGGCAGTCGAGGATGCCGAAGGGGGCGGCAAGGGCGATGGCGTAGGCGACAACGTCGTCGTCGCTGGTGGCAAAATCCCGGACGAAGACGATGGCGACGTAATTGCCGGCGTGGCTGGCCCAGCAGCCGGTTGGGCGGCCGTGCAAGCGGCCATGGGGCGGGCGAGGTCGCCCGAGGACAAGGCCCCAACCGCGGCGGCGAGCTCACCATCGGTCGCTCCAGCCGCAAAATTCGAAATGAAGACATGGGCCTCGGTCTGGACGCCCATGTCGAGGCCGCCTGTGGCGGCGAAAGAGCCCGACGTGGGCAAGACGAAGCCGGTGACGATCTCCTCTTCCTCCTCGCCCGACAAGGGGTCGGGCGCCCCACCTCCCAACAGCGTGGTCGAAGCCGCCAAAGACGACGGCGGTGCCCAATCGAGCACCTCGGCGTCAGCTGCCGAGGCATCCGCCCGAAGGGCGGCGTCGACGGCAGCAGCGGCGAAGTCAGCAGCGCCGGACGAAGACATGACCAACACTGGGAGGCGAAAGGGGCGAGGGGAACAGAAAATCAGGCGATCGAGCCGGCGAACTGCGGTCGATCGCTGGCGCTTGTTCCTACTCGCACAAGTGCGCTACACAACAATGCCCTTTCACATCGGGCACGCCTGCACTGTCACCACTGCATCGAAGGTTGAGCAGAGTACGAGGCCCGATCCAGAGATCTGTCCCCTCAGTGTGCCCAATACGAACATTGGCAGCATGTGGAACAACGCCAGGACCTCCAAGAAGCATTCTCTGCCAGTAGATGAGACGAAGAGTTGACGGTATGAGCGGCCTCGTGGAACCGGTCTGCGAGAGCCGCCGGCACGCGAGTGGACAAACATCCGTCGCCTTGCTTGCTTGGCATCTGCACATGGAGAAGTCGCACCTCGACCAGATGAACGCGCCACCGTACAGTACACATCAGCCTTGCAGGTCTACGGCGTCTACAGGTCCCAGGCAAAGGTGGCCTTCCCGGCGCTTCGGTGGAGCTCCGCGAGGGCATCCACAAGGCCGGCCAGCAGTGCATCTATCTCGTATTCCGGCCAAAGCTGCATCCTGAGAGACGAAGGACTGTCACACGCCTCGCGCCCGCGAAATGGCAAGCAGCTAAGCAATTCATGAGCCCTCATGAACCGACGCCGAGGCACAAAGCAACGTGCCTTAACGAGGCTGCATTCAACTATGATGACAAGCCAGGACACACTCAAGTTTGCTGGCTAAGCTGCTGCCCAGCCATCAGCGTCTTCACAGCCTGCAAAGAGATGCGAGCAAAGCAAGTCCACCTGCCATGGAGCTGCCACTTCTTCCAACCTCGTGAGGCCAACCTTCAGAGCTCATCCGGGCCGGGGGGACACGACCGGGGTGCCTCTGCAGCACCTGAAAGGTTCAGAAGAGAAGCTGTGCACCACAATGGCATGACACACCTCTGACCAAGCATTGGCTAGCAGCCATTCAGAAACAAGATATGGAAGGACTCCGTGAACAATGCGAGTACAAGCAGAGGAAGGTGTGAGGTGAGATCACTACCTCGCAACGTTGATCCATTGGGGCAACGCAGCAGCAGTGTTCCGTTCCGAACGACTAATGTGAGGCTCTATTCGGCTCTATAAATCTGTCACTGCATTAGGGCCACCTTTCTCAAAGCAGTCAGATTGTCCAAATCTCACTGTACATACTAATTACTTAATTAGCCTGTACACGCAGCGCGGTGTTTCCCCAATCCTCCGGCACTGCAGCCCCTGCACAACAGCATTCGCGCACATCTACGGGTGAAAGGGAATCAGTCAAAGACTATCGAGCCATTCTCGGACGGTTTCGGTCGCAATGTCTGGCCGCATCAGATCTTGCAGCTGGTCGGCCCGCTTGCTTACAACGCCGAGAACCTGCTCCTGAAGGACATCATAGAATCATAGAAGCCACCCTTCACTGCGACAGCTACGGGCATGGTCAATGCGCTCCTTCCACAGCTCCGGCTCCTGCTTCACTTCGCATTGCCATGAAGTTCCTGTCTGAACAAAACGGGCCGCCACAGCGGACATTTTGTCAGTCTGAGCCTTGAAACGTCTCCACGAGGAAGCACCGAACCCCGGAATCGCCGGAGTCTCTTTTTACCAGGTCGATGTAGCCAAGGCACTGGATCTTCTCCTTGGGAGCATTCAGTTAAGTCGACGCAGCCTTCACAAGCCTTTGCAGATCAAGTCTCGTATTCCTTCAAAGTGTAGAACCTTGCATCCCGTGAAGTGACATTCCACGCACCGCACGTTCGCTAGAGATCAGCATCTCCCCTTTCCATTTGCAGACCGGGTAGCAGCTTGCCTCAGTTTAGAGAGCAGGTCGCCGCCCTACCAGCTGCTAGCCGCAAGCCTGGGAGTGCCAAGGCGCGCTGGCGAGCTTTGTGCTCGAAAATATCGATGCTGCGGCATCCCTCGTCGGACATCTGCCTCTGTGCGGCTGCGTAGACACGCATAGATGCACAGAGGAAGATAGAGCGGGGCCCGGGGGCCGCCCGGCCTGTGAGCGTCGATCTTGCCCCGAAGCAGAAGCCCGGGGGCCACCTCGGCACTGTAAAGCCTCGGTTATGTTGCAAAGCGGGTACGACGAGCTTCACACAATTTTGCGCAAGGCTCTCACAGAAGACTGCTCTCCAAGAAGCTTTGTGTTGCCGGCCTGGAAAGGGGCCGCCGTCTTGGCGGCCGCTTTGCGAAGCTTCTTGCTTTGGTCCTTCATGGCTTTTGCAATCGTCTTCGCATCTTCCCTGCGAGCCCAAGCATCGGACAAGCGTGACAACAACTCCCTAAGTGGACCGGCACCTGTGAGTGGCTCTGGGATGAGGAGAGAGAGTTCCTACAAGTATCGAAAGGGCACAGGGGGCCGAATTACTTAATGGAAGAGACGGGCCTTCGAGGCAGAACATCCCTCGCTGCTATCAGATCGCTCTTCAGCAGCCAATCAGCCATTCCGGGATCTTGTTTTCGGAAAGCCTCCAACAGCTCCTCACGCGTGGGCTAACAGCGCTGAGCGAAGGTGACGGCATGCTGCAGTAACCTTCCGATCAGTCCTGCATGTCACCGATTGCATCACTCTGCAGTGTAAGCAGCTTTGCCCCCTGGATCGGGACAAAGGGTGCTGTCTACCCCGTCTCAGCCGTCTACTCGAGCTCGGTCTGCTCGTAACACAAGGGCGCGCATCTTTCAGCTCTGGGCCCTCGACCATTTGCAGTTTCTCGCCTCAGAAGTCGGGTACACAGCGAGGCAAGACAAGATTTAAGAGCACATGGCAATGCGGCCAAGTGGCTCCGTGTCTTCTGCTGCTTCGCCCGCTTCTTCTCAGCAGCTTCGGCAGCCTCCAGGCCCTTGCGCTCACCCTTGACACCGCGTTGCATCTTCACCTCTGATTCCTGGGAGGACGTACGAAAGGCACTCTCTTCTCCCGACTCAAGGGCAGTCATCTGCAGTCCCATGGTGCGACGACTGAGGTGCCCTCGAGCTGTCGTGCCACCTGGGCCGAGACGTTCAGCCCGTGGCGCTTTGCATCCACTCGTACAGCTTTCGGTGCTGCGACGGCAGCACTCTGGAGCTTGCCTTAGCATGGCAGAGTTGCCCGTCAATGAACACGAGGCGCACACTGATGCGATGCATCCGTGGCCGCGAGCGCAAGCTCAGGACTGGACGCAGTAGATCTCTTTGATTGGGGCTCAGCTTCTTCTTTTCAAAAGCAGTTGCATCCTCCTTTGTCCGCAGACCTTGCAAACAAGCCCAGAGCAGGCGCAAGTGCTCTGCGCAACAGTGTCTTTTCGTTTTCTTGAGTCTGGCACTCGGAGCAACTCCGCTCGAGACAAGCGGCCGGCATCTCGCTCGACCAGCTTGTTGTACACAGGTAGGAAATTCGCTTTGATTATGTTCCGCCAGCCCATCTCAGCCAACGGGACATCCAGAGCAGGGCAGGGCAGGGTGCAAGCTTCACCGCACCTTGACAAGGCGTGCTTGAATTTTCTACGAGCTGCTGAACTCTTCTCGTACGGGTTGCGTCCAGCAAGAGTGGCGAGCCGCGAGCACTGAACTGCTAGCGGTCGCATGCGCCGCAGCCTCAGCGTGATGCTGCAGCTGCAGACCAAAAAAGCTCAAAGGCCCCGTGAATCAAAAGAGATCTTGCGAACAGTGACATTGAATGCTGCACAAGCTGCACAGCAACATCTCCGTCACTCCATGACAACAACAGCAGCACGACCTTGCGACTCGGGGGAAGTGAAGGCCTCTCGGCAAAACCGATGTCATCTCAACTCTCTTCTAGTGCCGCCCCGCGACAGCCAATAGGATTAGGAAGCCCTTCGGCATTGCCAGACGGCTCTGCCGCGTCTCTACACTCTACACACGAGGAAGGAGCTGCGAGCCAGAGAAAATCATGAAATCATAGAAGGTCCCTGGGCCCCCCAAACTGGTGCTGATGTCGGCATGCCTCCTCGGCGAAGCAGTCGGCACCTGCAGCCAAATATCCCGTGTCTAATCTTGGGGAGGGGGGCGGGCAGGAGGACCGTCATTTTCACGGTTTTCTCCCTGGTCTGACCAGGACTCTGGGTTCGCCCCTCCCTATACCCCCCTTCCCTCCCTCTGCAACGCCCGCTCCGTCTTGCTGGCTTCTTGTTTGCGTCCCTTCCCGCCCTTCCTTTTGCAACACCTGCTTCCTCCGTGCTTCTTTGTCCTCCCTGTCCCCCTGCTGCTGCGTGCGGCATGACTGCACCGGAAACAATCCCAAACCCGGGCCTTGGACCATATTCTAACTATCTGCAGACCCGGCTGCTGGCCGTCGGGCTGCGGGCACTCATAACAGAACTCGGAAACGGCTCTGAGGCGGCTCGCGCGCTAATGGGGTAAACTTGGGTGATCCTTGCACTCGTCGTTCACTTTCGCTTCTAGAATGATCTTGGTCGGCGCCTTGCCCAGGCATCGGAAAGAGTCGTGCACGGCAACGGTGTTCGCCTTCCATAGAGACATGGTGCAAAGTGCGTGTCCTCTGGAGTTTCACAGGCGTGTGCCAGCCTGTTGTCTTAAGACTCGAGCGGTCGTCCAGGCTGCGTCTTGCGACTTCTTTGGCCTCGAGGCAACGCCAGTGACTGCTAGCCGCTAGCAGCTAGCCAACATCATCCCAGACTGGGAAGCTGATGGAAATTCACGCCGTTGCCTTCGTCACCGCCCACTCGTCTGCATCCGCGTATGAACCTTCGAGGATCTCGTCAACCAGCCTGGTCCCCGGAGAGTGTCGAATCCAGAATCTACCCATCCATCTCCATCCGAGGCCAAGCTGCCCAAGCTCCTTGGCTTCGAACACGTCCACGTCCTCCGCTAACATGCACAGCCGTCGCATTCTCGCCACACCTGGCAGAGATGCGAAACACGCAAAGCTTCCTTCCCCTCATGCTGCACCGCGCCTATCTTCGCAATGATGCCCTGCCAGGAGCAGCACGCTCCCAGACCACGCGCAGCTTCCTTGAACTTAAACATCGTCCTCAGCTCAGCATCAGTACCTTGGATCTATCTGCCAGATCATGCTGTAAAGTCGGTCCTCTTTGGTGGTGCGACCACCAAGTCCATGGAAGCAACGATGCTGATGCCCGCACCCAGCGTCGAGCCACGGATTGCGGCCACCTCGCAGGGTTTGGAGTTTGGGGTCCTAAACCCGAACAACGAAATCCTTGCGACGCTGCAGTAAGTGAAAGGCCTTGAACTGCGGCAATGTGTTCAGCAAGTAAACTAGCTTGGCGAGCAAGAGATTCGATGCTGTAGTCATTTCGAATTCACTGGCTCCTGACTGGAATGTATCAGCAGAACACGGGATCGGTTGTCTGTTCAGCTCCGCTCCTGGATCCAGCTTGGGCGCATACTCGGCATCGTCAGGAGCAACATCTCCACCTTGGCAGCTGATAGCAATACAAGCCACAGAACTGGCAGCAGCACATGTGGCTGTGGCTGCAACAGCCAGCCTGCAATCAGCAGCAAAGACATCGCCGAGTCTGGCACCGAAGGCACCACCGCTGCAGAAATGAAGCCCTGCTGCTGTAAATGCAATGACTTTAACCTGGGAAGGCAGTGCAGAGAGGAGCCCTGATATACGGAACATAAGTCGCACGAGATTGTGCCAAGGAGCATCATGCCGTCCGTGCAATTCAGCACAGATGTCCAGCAAAGCGGATATCGTCTTGTTGGTCCTCAGCTGCAAGTGTCGTGGATCCAAGTGGCATGCCGATGACTGAGAGCTGGACAGAGAGAAAGAGACGAGGGCGAGGCAGGGAGACAGCAAACAGGGAGCGAGGGGCAGAGCGAGGGCAGCGATACAGGGAGGGAGACGAGGGAGCGAGAGGGGTGAGACGGGGGGGAGAGGGCGAGAGGGCAGAAGAGGGCGGGAGAGGGCAGGAGAGGCCGGAGAGGGAGAAGAGGTGCCTGCAGTTACGAAGCTTTTGAACTACATCTTGGTCCACCCCAGCCCTGCTCACACTTCGAGCGGCAATGCATTGCCAGTAAGTGGGTCGTCCAACTTGACCTGGGCACCGCACGTTCGAAACATGCTCCAGATTTACACCACGAAGCAGAGTAGCTGGCCGCGTTGTGACGGACCTGAGAAGCCCACCTCTGCAATGCCGGCATTGACCCTGTATTTCACATTGGTGTAGTTCCAAGTGCCTGGCTGACAACTTCCACCACAAGTCTCAAGGGCTGAGGCTGGGGCTGAGATCACTGTATCCGACGCAGAATCACATGCAAAGTTACGCTGGCTTCCTGACACTCGTAGTAGCATGAAGGACAAAGACACAGGCCAAGGCGGAGGCAGTTTCCTGAAGCCAAGGAGCTAGAAGTGCATCTTCGGGTAGCAAAAAGGCTGGTGAGGATCTCCTGCAGACAAGGGGCTGCATGGGCATCTGACTGACATCCTGGATTTTCTCTCACTCTGGCAAGGAGCCGTCCTGGGATCTGGCTTGGCTATTCTGCCACCAGTGCACCATGGCAAGACACAACCCGGATTCATCTAGTCGATTCTAGTAGGTGTGGCAATGCTTGGAGAATTTTGGAAGACCATGGCGGTCTCATTGAGCTCTGAATGAATCCAAACTATGTGCAAAAAGAACCTTCTGATCATGTGCTGAGGTCTCACTTCGCAGAAAGTAGACAGCCAGAAACTCACAACCGTGATGAGAAGTCACCACACATCTGCCACTCCAATCATCCAAACGGCTATCAAGTCGGACCCTTCTAAACCTTGGTGTCCAACACCTTGTGCCGACTTCAGCTTGCGCCGATCCTGGCAGAACGCCAGTCCCAACGGCTGTCAGACGCAACGGAAACTCATAGCTGCGTGCATCGGTGTAGCAGGCAATTAGGCCTCCACTTTCGGAGAAGTCGGAGACAGCGTCATGGAGTGCCTGCCAAGCTGCCAAGGGTGCAACCACAGATTGCAACAGACTGAAGATACATTGATACACTTGGGCATTCTTCGAAGGCGAAGACAAAATGCTGAGTCTTTCCGTTCCACTGCGATTGTGTTTCAAGCCCCCAAAACACGTATGCTGGTATCATGAGATGCCTGCTGAGCATTGACCCCAACGAAACTCGGGACGAAGACGAGCTGAAGCCCAAGCGCGAAGCAACAGAACTCGAAAATCCAGGCTTCGGCTGCTAAGGGATAAAGGACAGAAGGAATAACTTTGCGGGGTGGGGTCCACAGTCTGACAAACCCGATATACAGCTTTAGTATTCAGCTCGCCTTCTGGCCACAGGTGACGAAGGGGCCGTCACAGAGCCGCTTGTGGTCGGCCTCGACCCTCCTTGGCTGCAAGGTTACTAAGAGGCACCAGGGTTGCATATGGCTTGAGTTCGAAGCGATACCAGGATGGGATAGTCAAAAGTCAGAAGCAAACTGCACGACATTGGGTGCTGGTGCTGGACTGATGAGCTGACGTCACATGTCACATGACACGCGACGGATGGTGGGCCCGACATGGTCCTGAAGCTTTCAACGCAGCCAGGGTGCTTCCTCTACTTCGGTCCTCCACCTGCCCAGACAGATTTTATGCTGCAACCCATGCATCATTCCCTACATCCGTATCATCGTAGAATCGCAGAATGCTTTCCAAAGCAAAGGCTTCAATGGCGCATTCTTCGGACGGACAGATTGGGGTGTATTGGACTCGACGTGCTGGTGATGCGCCCAACCTTGCCACCGATTGTTCTCATCATGGAATTGCTCTTGACGTGCAAGTCGGCGAGACCTCGTGCGTTGGAATTTCGTCATCAGCTACACTAATGGACTTCGGATAAGAGGATGGCAACTTCACTTGAATTTTGCTCACTGATGCTTCTTTGCGCTGATGACGTAAGCAGAAAGGCACTGTAGGCCGCCGACTGACTACATTGCCAGAATGCCGCAACTGGAGGCGAATGGCGATTCACGGAAGTAGCAATGCAATCTGCGTGCGTGGGAGTACCAGGTCGCGCCTGGTCGTGCACTTGGGTCTTCAGCTCCTCTGGCTTCGAGAAGACCTGGCGAGCATGCTGCGCCAAACAGACGTATAACGACGAAGCAAGCCGCGCGATCCGGAGATGATCGCAGCCTGCACCGATGGTCGCCCTTTTGGCGACATCTGCGGTGACAAGAGCTGACCGCTGCTTTGCACCTTTGGTTCTTGGCTTTTTGGCTCGAGACCACAAGCCGTAGCATGCTCTGTCTGCTGCTTCAGGAGCACATTGCAACAATTTTGCTTCGAGGCAGGGACCGTCTTGGGAGAGCTTGCTGTCGCCGAAGTGGGGCTTTTCAATGACGGTGCCAATGATACCGGCCACTCTTCTTCCACTGAGGACAGAATCAAAGATTAGCAAAACTTCCACCCACCCCCCAACTTGCACAAGCAATGCTGTGTACCGGACCCTCGCTGCCCAAGTTGAAGTCCGCAGCTTTTGTAGACCTCGCGGTCTCCGGAGCGTTGGACTCTATGACGGCCTCCTCGTCAAGGTGAGTCAGGAATACCCTCTGAATATCTGAATACAGCAGACTTGGGCCTGAACCCGCAAAGGTTGATTTGATTGCTGCAGGAGAATACTGTTGGAGCTCTATCCAACATGAGCGAGCGTTTGTCGCAGAAGCATAAGACACCGACCACAGCAGATTACTTTCGCCGGTAGCACCGAGTATGCAGCACGGCACTGCTGTCGTGAAATGTCTGCATGACCCCACTCGCCACGCATCATGTGCTGATTGTGCTTGTGCATGCTCGGCTTGGCTCGTGCATGTAGCACTGCAGCTGCTGTAGGTGACCAACATACCTTGACAAACTTTCCTGACAAGCTTGTGAAGCCCACGATACGGACGGCTCCATGTCTCAGGTCCCTCCTTCGCAGACAGCACTGGACAAGGGTCTCCCCCACCGGCCTCCATTTTCTCCTCGCGTCGGGCAACAACCCGTGCCCTGCAGTCAGTAAACATCAGGGCACTATACTGCGTCTGCTTCGCCTACAGGCTTTGTCCACCACACGATTGCAGACCAGAAAGAACAAACTAAGTGGCCCTACACATCTGTACCACACGACGCTAAAACTTACGGTATCTTGCTCTCAACGATTAGAGCCCGTGCTGCCTCCTTCTTGTTTTTCGCACCGTCTCGAGAACCTCACCGCACCGGTCCATGTGACGTCGATCTCTCGATCTCACTGCACTGCGAGAGCCCAGCCAAGTATGCAGCCACGACAGCCATGGCCAACACCTTCCGAGTCCAATATCCAGGCGATGACAGTCAGCAACGAGCACATTGCCGGCTGCAGCCGCCACTGAGGAAGCGGCGAGAACACCAACCGCCGCCAAGACTATGGTGAAGGTCAGCGTTTCTTCTGGTCAGGTTCGCACCGTGATGAAAAACGATGCATGCAAAAAGACCCCGTGAAGGTACAGGCAGAAGCTCCAGTTTTCAACGGTAGCGGCGGCTAAGAAATTACCCGAAACTCTTAGTGAACACTTGGAAACGGCCGAAGCACTCGCACGGGGGCGTTGCCCTACACGCCGAGCCAGCAGCCGACAGACCAACGAGTCCGGCAGATTAAGGATGCCAACTGTGTTCGTAATGTCGGCGGCACGCGGGCTGAGTACGGCTGATGCTCATGATGCTCATGGTGTTTGCCACCCCGAAAAGCAAGTTTCAGTTCGGGGAAATGCTTTGGCATTTGGGGGCCATCCAATAAACCCTAAACCCTAAAAATAAACCCAATATGAATCCAAAATGACGCACAATCACGTAAACCCCAAACCCTGTGCTCAAGCGATTCATGAAAGTGATGCTGGCCGCTGAAAGTATGGGCTTGTCGTATGTGGGCTCTGCGTAGCTCAAGCTCATGATGCTGGCCCCTTGAGATAGTTGTGAACGGATAGGCGGTTCACTTGTGAATTTGTCCCGGGTTTCACTTGTGACTTCGCCAGAGGCAGTCGCTTATGACTTGTCACTCACTCAAAACCCGACTTTATAGCATGTGTTCACGTGCGACTTCTACGGATTTGGGTCCGGTGCAGGTGTCTTGGATTTAGCTTACCGGTTTAGGGCTTGGGAAGGTTTAGGGGTTCGGGGATAGGGTTTTTTTTTTTGAACGCCTTTTTCCTCCTCGCTGGTTTGGTTGGACGAATCCACTTACGTGGAAGGCAGTTTGCCAACTACACCCCCTTCAGTGTGTAGCCACCCTTGAACATCTTCAGGTATGAGGCACTCCATCATTCCTTTCTTCCGGAGTCTGTGCACTTTCTTGAGACACTGGCCACCCTCTGAGCCCTCGTTCATCACCCGTTGGGACACCATCGCTCCCCTGCCCTGCATTGCTTCCTGACGCCGTACTCACCTGAGACTGGTCCTGCACATTCCCTTCCTCCAGATCCCAGATAACCATATCACGAAGTTCACCCCGTAGACCCTGGCTCAGTCCATGTTGTTCAATGAGTCGAAAGAAGACAAGCCACACTTCTCCGTAGACCTCGACGACCATCGTATTCGTGATGCCCCCTTGCTGCCAAGCCCTGTAGACCCTCAGGTCCGGGATGAGAGGCGGGTCTTCTTCACTTCAGACAGCCTTCGATGGACTCTATGCCCCACTTTGCCCATTGTCTGAACATCGCCAGCCATGTGGAGCCGAACTCACGCAGGACGTCCAGGTCACTCCTATGTCCATCCTTCCATTGCCCAAACATCACTTCAAAGAAGCAGAACTTCACTTTGGCCCTGCCAGGCTGGCACAACGGGTTTTGCCCTTTCACCACATTTGTAGCTGCCGAAGCCACCGCCTGTTGTCCTCGTTCCGCGGCAGCCTCCATGTCCTCCAGGTCCCCCACGATGCGTTGTGCCTGTAGAAGCTCAGCCACTTCTGCACCATAACGTTGCTGGACCTGGCTCGTCGTGAGTTGTCCAGCTGACCATGCCCTGTATAGTTTCTCGTAGTCCTTCATCTCAAGCACGGGGTCCAAGTTGGGCTTCTCTTCGACGTCCAGCTGTGTCTCCTGTCCCGCATGATCCACTGCCTCTGAGGCAACAGGGATTGTTGTGACATTTTCGGCATCCTCCACCATGCGAACACGGCAAACAACCGCAAGAGGGGTACCATTCAGCGGCGCATCCATTTCAAGCGTGTGCAGTATTTGGGGCGGATCGTTGCTCCCCGTGGCCACCTCGAGAGTGACTGCACAGCGCCGTCTCTTTGGCCCATGGTCCCTGTTTAAGGCCTCCTGCATTTGCTTGTCCTCCCATTCTTGATACACACCCGCTTGTTGCTGCAGATGTGTGGCCTCGATCTCCGCCATGTTCTGCCACTCTTCTAGTCGTGCTCGCTCCTGTGACTCTTCCTCTCTTCGAGCTGATTGCCAGTCTTGTTCTTCACGTTCATCCCTGAGCAACTGTTCGAGATCATGGTCATCTTCATCACGAGCGAGGGGCCCCGTAGATTGCTCCTGCGACTCCACTTGCAGAGGACTGTCATGCACCTGAAACCCCGGGATGGCAGCAGCGATTTCGGTCGTCCAATGGTTGAGCCACGTCATGTCAGGCTGTCCCGGCACCGTACCCTCCGACACATCCATCCCCAAGGCCAGGAGCAAGGCCTGTAGCTGTTCCCAGGGTTCCTGGGGATAGGGTTTGAGCCTTAGGGTTTCGGGTCCACGCTAGGATTTGGGGCATATAAGGGAAATGACGTTTAGGGTTTCTCGGGTTCAGAGGTGTTAGAGCTTCAGGTTTAGGCTGTAAGGTTCGGGCTTAGGGTTCAGGGTTTGGGCTTTAGGGTGGCACGTCGGATCCAGGCTTAGCGCTAATGCTTTGGGCTTTCTGGTTTAGGGTCAGGGATACATAGGAGGGATACGTTTTAAGCTTTGGGGTTCAGGGTTTAGGGTTTACGGAGTTGAGTTTTGGGTTCAGGATTTCGGATTTAAGCTTGAAAGGTAGGGCATATAGGGGGGACAGTGTTTAGGGTTTGGGCTGCGGGGTTTGGGGTTGGGCATATAGTGGACTCAGGGTTTAGGGTTTCGGGTCCACGGTGTAAGGTCGCTGTAAAATCCTGCGCTTAAGGTCTCGGCTTCCCTGAAAAATGGTTCACGCCATGGGGTTTATTCCGAATATGGGGTTATATGGGCGAGAGAGGGTTTGGGTTGGGGGGTTGGGTTGCTGGGCTTAGTGCAGTTTTGAGTTTTGGGGTTTTGAATTTGAGATTCAGGCTTTGCCAAGGGCAGTGGTTAAGGTGTAAAGCTTCGGCCTCGGAGGGCAGCGGTGCGCAATGAATACAGGATTGAGGCTCATGCAAGGTCCCAACGAAGATCAATGTCATCGATGCGGCCAGGACCCTCTTTCCCATGGTCCGACCACCATATCAGAGTCGGAGGGTCCGGGTCGCAACGACAAAAAGCGAAACCCCGGACATGTCACAAGCGAACCATCTACCTTGTAAGTCTTTTGGACACGGACCCGAATATGTGACCATCGGCTCATAAAGGCTCTGGGGATCTTTGGGGAAGGCAGCAAAATTCTGAGGATATCTACAACCGGGACTTCCCGACTTCTTTCCCATGTTGCCCACTGCAAAAGTGTTATGCGTGCACCTTCGGTGTCGTCGACGAGCTCCTCCACGATTTCTTCCTGCAGCCATTCACACCAACGCTATGCAACATGCACCTTTCTTGTGCGCTCTCATCAGCTGTGTCCCCTGCTGCGCCAGTCTGAAAGATGTACACACCACGGTCGATACCTGGGGAGTTGCTGCAACATACAGCGTTTACACACGAACAACTTTGTCTTATGCCATTCATCCTTCCTGCTCGTCCCCTTGTGGTGACGACAGCATGTATGACTATTTCTTGAAAGGATGTTGCCGCTCAGGCTGTTTCACGTGCTGAATAACTCGAGCGAGCGTGTCATCAAGAAATCCGAAACACCCTCTGAGACAAGAACCTCCGAACGGGTTGCTGGAGATGTCGCTTATTGTCTGCAAGCATCAAGGCCATTCGACACTGAACTGGCCAAGCGTGGCTTGCTCAAGACACAATGGCTGCGGCCTGTGGTGGAATTGTGAGCGAATAGTACCTGAGCCCAACAGAGTAACTATCGGAGTTCAGATTCTGAAGCCCAAGGTCCGTACGTGCTGGTGCTCAGCAGTCCAGTCAGCTGCACATGCATAATGTTGCGGTTGTCTCTGTCGATGGCCACCGCCTGCTGGACGGGAGACTGATGATAGCACCGAGGTGCCTCTCGGCGGAGGGTCATGCACAATGAAGTAGCTTGTGTGCTTTGTGGTTTTGGGAGAGAGGTCCCCCAGTGATCCCGGGCACAAGGGCGCAAGGGCACAAGGGCACAAGGGCACGGCAAGGGCACGGCAAGGGCACCACAAGGGCACCACAAGGGCACGGCAAGGGCACGGCAAGGGCACAAGGGCACAAGGGCACAAGGGCACAAGGGCACAAGGGCACAAGGGCACAAGGGCACAAGGGCACAAGGGCACAGGGGCACAGGGGCACAAGGGCACAAGGGCACAAGGGCACAAGGGCACAAGGGCATGAGGGCATACGGGCACAAGGGCACAAGAGCGCGAATGCACATAGACATATATACAAATATACAAGTATACATATACACATGTATACATTTCTACATATGTACACATATACATATAACACGTACAAAACATACATATGTATGTACATATACAAAAGTACAGATGTACATATATACATCTATACATATATACACATATACGTATATAAACATGCACATAATTACTTATGTACATATACACATTTTGATATATATATATATATATATACATACATACATACATGCATGCGTGCATACATACATACACATATACATATGTACACGTACACATATATACACAAAACACGTGTACACATATACATATATACATTTATACATATATACATATATACACATCTAAATATATGCATCTACACAAGAATACATAATTACCCATACACATATACACATATACATGTACACATGTATACATATAAACATGAATAGAGTTGTGATTTTAAAATCAGGGGCGCCCCATCAGTCCGAGGCCCCATCCTCGGAGTTCAAGGGTGATAAGACTTCTGGTTTTAAAGACAGGACCGCCCTATCAGTCCGAGGCTCCGTCCTCGGAGTTCAATGGTGATAAGAGTTCTGATTCTGAAATCAGGGGCTCCACATTAGTCCAAGGCTCCATCCTCGGAGTTCAAGGGTGGTCAGAGTTCTGTTTTTTCAAAATCAAGGGCACCCCGTCAGTCCAAGGCTCCATCCTCGGAGTTCAAGGGGTGGTGAGAGTTTTGATTTTAAAATCAGGGGCGCCCCATCAGTCCGAGGCTCCATCCTCGGAGTTCAAGGGTGGTAAGAGTTCTCATTTTAAAATCAGGGGCGCCCCATCAGTCCAAGGCTCCATCCTCGGAGTTCAAGGGCGGTAAGAGTTCTGATTTTAAAATCAGGGCCGCCCCATCAGTCCCAGGCTCCATCCTCGGAGTTCAATGGTGATTAGAGTTCTGATTTTCAATCCAGGGGGTCCCATCAGTCCCAGGCTCCATCCTCGGAGTTCAAGGGTGATAAGAGTTCTCATTTTCAATCCAGGGGGTCCCATCAGTCCCAGGCTCCTTCCTCGGAGGTCAATGGTGATAAGAGTTCTGATTTTAAAATCAGGGGTGTTCAAGGGTGATAAGACTTCTGGTTTTAAAGACAGGACCGCCCTATCAGTCCGAGGCTCCATCCTCGGAGTTCAAGGGTGGTAAGAGTTCTGATTTTAAACTCAGGGGCGCCCCATCAGTTCGAGGCTCCATCCTCGGAGTTCAAGGGTGGTAAGAGTTCTCATTTTTCATCCAGGGGCGCCCCATCAGTCCCAGGCTCCATCCTCGGAGTTCAATGGTGATAAGAGTTCTGATATTGAAATCAGGGGCGCCCCATCAGTCCGAGGCTCCATCCTCGGAGTTCAAGGGTGATAAGACTTCTGGTTGTAAAGTCAGGACCGCCCCATCAGTCCGAGGCTCCATCCCCGGAGTTCAAGGGTGGTGAGAGTTCTGATTTTAAAATCAGGGGCACCCCATCAGTCCAAGGCTCCATCCCCGGAGTTCAAAGGCGATAAGACTTCTGATATTGAAATCAGGGACGCCCCATCATGCCAGGGCTTCATCCTCGGAGTTCAAGGGTGATTAGATTAGAGTTTTTATTTTCAAGCCAGGGGCGCTCCATCAGTCCCAGGCTCCATCCTCGGAGTTCAAGGGTGATAAGAGTTCTCATTTTCAACCCAGGGGGTCCCATCAGTCCCAGGCTCCATCCTCGGAGGTCAATGGTGCTAAGAGCTCTGATTTTAAAATCAGGGGTGTTCAAGGGTGATAAGACTTCTGGTTTTAAAGACAGGACCGCCCTATCAGTCCGAGGCTCCGTCCTCGGAGTTCAATGGTGATAAGAGTTCTGATTCTGAAATCAGGGGCTCCACATTAGTCCAAGGCTCCATCCTCGGAGTTCAAGGGTGGTCAGAGTTCTGTTTTTTCAAAATCAAGGGCACCCCGTCAGTCCAAGGCTCCATCCTCGGAGTTCAAGGGGTGGTGAGAGTTTTGATTTTAAAATCAGGGGCGCCCCATCAGTCCGAGGCTCCATCCTCGGAGTTCAAGGGTGGTAAGAGTTCTCATTTTAAAATCAGGGGCGCCCCATCAGTCCAAGGCTCCATCCTCGGAGTTCAAGGGCGGTAAGAGTTCTGATTTTAAAATCAGGGCCGCCCCATCAGTCCCAGGCTCCATCCTCGGAGTTCAATGGTGATTAGAGTTCTGATTTTCAATCCAGGGGGTCCCATCAGTCCCAGGCTCCATCCTCGGAGTTCAAGGGTGATAAGAGTTCTCATTTTCAATCCAGGGGGTCCCATCAGTCCCAGGCTCCTTCCTCGGAGGTCAATGGTGATAAGAGTTCTGATTTTAAAATCAGGGGTGTTCAAGGGTGATAAGACTTCTGGTTTTAAAGACAGGACCGCCCTATCAGTCCGAGGCTCCATCCTCGGAGTTCAAGGGTGGTAAGAGTTCTGATTTTAAACTCAGGGGCGCCCCATCAGTTCGAGGCTCCATCCTCGGAGTTCAAGGGTGGTAAGAGTTCTCATTTTTCATCCAGGGGCGCCCCATCAGTCCCAGGCTCCATCCTCGGAGTTCAATGGTGATAAGAGTTCTGATATTGAAATCAGGGGCGCCCCATCAGTCCGAGGCTCCATCCTCGGAGTTCAAGGGTGATAAGACTTCTGGTTTTAAAGTCAGGACCGCCCCATCAGTCCGAGGCTCCATCCCCGGAGTTCAAGGGTGGTGAGAGTTCTGATTTTAAAATCAGGGGCACCCCATCAGTCCAAGGCTCCATCCCCGGAGTTCAAAGGCGATAAGACTTCTGATATTGAAATCAGGGACGCCCCATCATGCCAGGGCTTCATCCTCGGAGTTCAAGGGTGATTAGAGTTTTTATTTTCAAGCCAGGGGCGCTCCATCAGTCCCAGGCTCCATCCTCGGAGTTCAAGGGTGATAAGAGTTCTCATTTTCAACCCAGGGGGTCCCATCAGTCCCAGGCTCCATCCTCGGAGGTCAATGTGATAAGAGTTCTGATTTTAAAATCAGGGGTGTTCAAGGGTGATAAGACTTCTGGTTCTAAAGGCAGGACCGCCCTATCAGTCCGAGGCTCCATCCTCGGAGTTCAAGGGTGGTAAGAGTTCTGTTTTTCAAAACCAAGGGCGCCCCGTCAGTCCAAGGCTCCATCCTCGGAGTTCAAGGGGTGGTGAGAGTTTTGATTTTAAAATCAGGGGCGCCGTATCAGTCCAAGGCTCCATCCTCGGAGTTCAAGGGTGGTAAGAGTTCTGATTTTAAAATCAGGGGCGCCCCATCAGTCCAAGGCTCCACAAGCTGCGCAGTTGGCGCAAGCGGCGCAGCCGGCGTCGGCGCACCGGCGCATCCATGGGGGTCGGCGCACCGGCGCACCGGTACATCGGCGCATCCGTGTTCCAGCGGCGCAACGGCGCACTGGCTGGCGCATCGGCGCAACCGAGTTGCATGCGGTGCACCGACGCACCGCGCAACTGTGAGGTGCTGCACCCATTGCCCCCACCCTCCATATATACATATATATATATATATATATATACATGTACACATATACATGTACATACATGTACACATGTAAACATATAAATATATAAACATACATACAAACATACTTATATACACATACATATAAAGGTAAATATATGCATGTACACATATAAACATAAATACACATGCTCTAAGCATCCTGGCATCATCAGCAAAAGAACAGGAACGAAAGCGAGGCGTTCGAAACTTCATACCAGCTTGACAAGCCCGATGCCAGTGCACAAGGACACCAGGGCACAAGGGCACAAGGACACCAGGGCACAAGGGCACAAGGGCACAAGGGCACAAGGGCACAAGGGCACAAGGGCACAGGGCACAAGGACACAAGGGCACAAGGGCACAAGGGCACAAGGGCACAAGGGCGCAAGGGCACAAGGGCACAAGGGCACAAGGGCCCGGGAACAGGAGAGGACCGAAGCCGGTTTTGGGCGCGGCCGAGCCCGCTGCCAAAGAGTGTCAATCTGTTTCTCGAGTAGAAATACTTTGCCGGTGCAGCATCCGTCATCTCCCGAGACGGCAGGTCGCTAAGACAGAAACTGGCCTCGTCCCAGACAGAAATCTCTGCGATCTTGATATCCGCGGCACGATCTGACAAGGCACATGCCACGTTCAGAGATACTCCAACACCTTTGCTGTGAGCCCATTCTGGGACCCCTGCCAGTTCGATTTCCTCCAAGGATGTACAGTTCCAGATAGCCAATGGAGTCTGGACATTCAACAGCCGAGACATGGAAGGCAAAAACAAGAGGCCACTGAAAGCTCTGCTTTTGCGCAAGTTTTGGGAATCGACAGAATCTGACGTTCTCGTTGAAATGGAAGTGAACTGTTGTGGCCTCAGCACAGCCAGCGTCGAAGTCTGACTATTCCAGGCTGCTGACCTCTGTGCTGCCTTTGCATGCATTTCCCCGAGGTCATGACGAGCGAAACTCCCCGTGCCTTACAAACATGTTGCAGCAAAGCAGGATTATGGCAAACCAACCGGGCTGAAAACGCTGTTCGCTGGCTCAAAGCTCACCACCTGCATGTAGGACAAGGGAAGTGCAGGAGCCACATGGAGTACGGAATGCCACAAGCACAAGTCCAGAAGGTGCGGGCTTGCCCCCGAAATTACAATTTGGTAGATCAGGCGTGGCCCCGCTCTGGAGCCTCCGGAGGGATCCCGTCCGGAAGTGTGACGAAGATGACGTTGTCCTGATGAAGTTTGAAAACCCCTTGGCAATCCAACAAGGAATGCCGTGATCGACATCCCCAGGAGTGTTGTCTGTGCCTCCAAGCCATTAAATGGAAGCCGATCCTGCGAATCACGCACCTGCAGCTTGGCGAAGGCTGAATCGAACTGCGGTTCTGAGATTACTCCCCAAAGGAAGGCACGGCATTGTTGGCGATCACCTCACTGCAACATACCCAAAACATCACTCGACGGCTCTTCACTCGAGGCTTCAAATGTCTGCTCTGAGTGGCGAGATCGCAGTCCCGTCTCTCGTCATTGGGCAGCCCTCGGACATTGATGTGAAGCATGCTTCCGTCGATGACCTCAAAATCCATCCCAGGCCAACGGCACGGGAGATGCCATGCTATGCTGCAATGCTCAAAAACAACAAGGTCGGTGCGAGCTGGCCGTACTCCAACTCGAAGGTTGGAGCCCAATCTCCCCTGCTATGAGTGCAAACAAGGAACAGTCACGGAATTTCTGCATGTGTTCGCAGCTGCGTCTTTGCACACACTGGGCTCAACGTTACGAGCCCATGAGCACCGACTACTGTACTTCACATGTCTTTTTTGCACACACACACACACACATATATATATATATATATATATATGCATATGCATATATATATATATATATACGGATTGAATGAAAACATGTTCTTATGTACTGTGAACAAACAATGTTCCCCGCAAGGTGCGCAGCCAGACCCCTGGCCATTTTTGTCCAAAAATCTGGAGAACCCAGATTCCAGACTGTGGAAATGGATGTTGGAGGGTTAGGATTGGATGTTGGAAATGAACCGTAAAACTACATTGATTTGTGCTCTGACCTGGAAACAGGCGAAGAATGAATGTGCCCTCGGTGCTCCTTTTTCCGCTTTGCTTGTCGATCGTTGCAAGCTGGATCTCTTGCGCCTTGTGCTGTGGGTTTTCGCGTGAACGGCCTTGCAACGCCATGCAATTATTTCCACGTTGATGTAGCATACATCGTCCAAACCCCGAACGAAGCAGCTCATTTGGGCATCGACAGCCACATCTATTTGGGCATCCATCTTCCGGGAGAGCATGAAAGCCACATCCATTTTAGACATCCATTGCCAATGGGCCGGAAATGAACATCCATTCCTGAACATCCATGTTGCCTGGGAAGGTACATGTGAAATGGATGTTGGGTGGGGATCCGCAAATGGACGTCAATTTTCGGGCTGCCCCGAAGATGGATTTCCAATTCCCGTCCATTTTGCAGTCCCCCACCCGCCATTGAGGAAGAGCACCCCCAGCCTTACAAACATTCGGAAAAGCAGGGGTAGGCGAGGGAAGGATGGGAGAGGGGAGAGGGCCTTGCACCTCCTGAAAAAATGGATGCGTAATCCAAATTCACTTAACACCCCTTTTCTGCTGTTAAAAAAAGGAATGGACTGTGGTCACACACACACACACCCATATCCCAGCCATGCTGAGGACTGCAAGATCCTTTGACTTTTCCAGGAAATCCGCCAAGTAGCTGCAATCAGAGCTTATCTTGGCTTCGAAGGAGTAGTGGCCGGCGGGCCCAGCGGACCCGCGATTGGAGCAATGCTTGCAAAGTCTCCACCAGCAACCCCCGTTCCAGGCTCGAGGATGGGGGTATGCCGTGCTGGCATTCCTGCAGTCTTGTCCCTACTCGACTATCCTATCGACGAAATAATCGATAAACCCACCCCCGGTACCACTGGGTGTCTCGGTGCGTATTGTTTGGTCGACTGGATAAGCCGAATGGTGTGTTTGCGGGTGGGGCACAAGCCTAGACCTTGGACCCCGACACCGTTAGTTGAACCTTGGTTCAGTTCACGTCTTTCTTCTTGGCTTCGTCAGGTTCGAGGGATTAAAATACATTCCACGGAACCTCTGGCGGCTGCCTCTATGCTTCTCAGAATGGCCCGGGTTGGAATGGCCCGCCGAATCCCGCAATAAATGACCCTCCCTGAAATGACACGGGGTCTGAAATCATGCGCCGCTATCTTGCCAGACTCACTTAGGGGATGGTACTGAAGAGGTAAACAACCAGCCAGACAGCCACACAGAGAGACAGAAACCGACATCTTTCACAGCACTTTTCAGCATAGAACCCCCACAAGTCTGGGATAGGCAACTGAGCTGCGCACGGCCTGTTCGACCGACATCTCGGAAATGCAAGGCGGAAGGGCGGGGAAGTGAGCATTAACTGGACTTCTACATCTGACCAGGAAGTGACACCAGTTCCTTCAAGAGAAAAGCTTCGAGCTATGCAAACTGTTGACGCTACATCAGTGAACTGTTGCTGAGAAGCCGACTGCAGCATGATGCCTGACCCGAGGCCTTGCCAACTCAAAGCAGCTGATGAAGCAGATAGTACTCTGTATACAACTTCTAAGCAACGGCCAACGTTGCTGGGAACGGATTTATACCAACGTGTTGTCATTGACTGTCACAGACATGCGTCCCTGGCGCACCTAGGCGGAGGAACTCAATGTCCCTGGCAGGAGCTGAGAGCTGCAGCACTGATTTCACTGTTCACCGACTTCGACCCTGCCTGTCAAAAGTCACGTTAATGAACCAACCAATTTCTTCCCTTGGCTCAACCGGCAATATGAGCTCTTGTCGCTCTCGCGGATCATCTGAGGGCGTACTGGCCCATGAGAGCCAGGTTTTCCGGCTGCTTGCTTCTAACCTGCTCCAGAGTCCCAAGAACTTCGGAATACAGCAGGCAAAATGCAGCACAAGAGGAGCTGCCAACTGGCGCACCAAGCTGCCAAATGAGGGCACGGCCGCTGGCAGACTGCAGAAGCTTTGCCGAGAGCAGGCAATGCCTCAAGCCGCACGAAGCAGAGCTTCTGCAACAGCCGCTCCCTCCTGGGCTCCCCTCGCCCTCGCTCCAACTCTGAGAGGAAGCACAAGCCGTGCTGGCCGTGACATCGAAGTAGCAGCGACTCGTGGCCTCGAGTCAAAGAAACTTTGTCTAAGCCAGTCTAAGCTGACGTCCTCCGCCGAGGTACCATGTCCCAGTTGCATCCACCCCCGCGAAGCACACATGCCTGCAGTCCAGATCCGCAAGAGAACGCGGCATGCATATCTCAACAGCTCAACGGCTTCAATTGCTGGGGGGCAGACACATGGTGTGGACTTCATCTCACACTCTTTCTCGGGGGTAATGACGCATTGTGGCTGTCACAGGATGGTCACATAACACAGCTCTGCAACGGATTGAACAAGAGAATAAGGCGATGCAAGTGCCTGGTTTGGGCATGCCTCACACGGTACTCCGGGTCGCGAGGTGTACACCTGTGCACAGTGCAGATGGACTTCTCTGACCTGTATGTTTCTTGTTTGCAGGGCTTGAGTTGCCAGCACAACGAGGTACTCCGCTGACACTTGTTACCTGCTCTTTCAGCAATCAAGCGGATTTCACCATCGTTTGGGCGTGACTGAGAGCAAAGCCCACTCACAATTTGTCAGCGCAGCGCAAACGCAGGGGTTGCTTGCGGCCTGAGCATACTTCCAAGGCAGCAAGATTGGAATGCATGCGTGCATCAGGCCCAATCGGAATTTGTCTTGACTGCCATACTCCTAGAAGCTGCACGCATTACGTAGCGCCATAGTGCCAACTGTGAATTGGATCTCAGCATTCTCCCATACTTGCTGAACCAAGCAAATTGGAACGAGGAAAAATATCAAGAAAACCTTTCTTCGGCGAAGCAGCAAGGTCACAGCCACCGACCTCGTTGAGGTCAAACTCGCCTGACCGAGACCCGAGGGGAAACATCCCAAAGCAGAGAGCGAGAGGCGTGGAGACTGTGGAGACGTCAACAGGAGAGAAGGGCCGATCGAGCCTTCCAGGTTGGGCTCCCAGTCGACGCTGTCAGTTCCCAGGCACTCGGGCCTTCGGGCGACTCTAGATGGTGCACATCTTTCAGGTGACAGCTGCGACCCTCTGAGGCTGCATCTCTTCTGTGGGGAAGACATCAATGCTTCTGCTGTGGTTCCAATGCTTTATAACCTGCTATCGCTGGAGAGCACTGTGGGGCAGCGCTCTTCTTGCTCCGATCCTGGCATGCCTGGCCTGCCGCTCGTCACACGACATGTTCTGCAGGCTCAGGGTCCACCCAGTCATGTTGAGGAGCCTGCCATTCACATTCATGTCTCGCTAGACGGCTCTGGTGTCAGTCGCGAATGGCCTGGTTGGCGGATGGAGACGCATCTCAGCCTCAAATAGCGCCCTGCCAGCAGCATCAATTCTGGGGAATGGCTTGAAAAGATACTGTTTCTGCTGCTGAAATCGGATTCGAATGCCCCGGACCTGATTGGTGGAGCGGGGAACTTGTCAAAAGGAGGCTCTTTGGGTCCAAAGCTCACCTAAGTTACGATGGGCCGTCAGAGCTTGCGCTGCCAGTCTCCCACCCCTGAAAAAGTCTCTAAGGATGCAGCCATGGCGAGTCTGTTGATGCCTCATGTGATGAAGACAATGAGGTTCAGTCAGGGTTCAGCGATTTTAGGTTGGAGGACTAGGCCATCGTGCAGACAAGAGACAGTCCTTGCCAGCCTGGTCAAGAAGGCTGAGGCCTAGTCTCTGGTCCTAGCTGCAAGTGCTGGAAATCGAACCTCAATGGGAGGCAGCATCTGCCAGGTGTAGTTCATGCCTCTGTGCCGCAGGGCCAAGCCTAGACCGCTCAGAAAGCCGAGAGATGCCAGCCTAATCGTCTCTGTCCGACTGTGCGCACGTCCTTGGAGAGCCGGCCCGGGTGCAGGGTAGGAAAACAATCAAAGGCAGTATGAAATGGAGCACCCCAGCAGCTGAAACATGCTGAAATCGCGAGTCACAAGCGGCACACTACACTTTTTGTTACCTGCCTTGACCTAAAAGGAAGAGCCGAAAGATCACCCTCGTCGTGGCTCCCTGGGTCTCCGGCAACAAACATTTTCGTAAGAGTCGGCGCTCCAGAAGTGCGCTCGAAGTTCTTGCAAACTTTGCCTCAAGAAGAGTTGCAGCGTCGTGCCAGTCTTCTGGCCCTGCCTGTGCCGAAGATTCATAGAGATGTTTACATGTACGCATGTATGTATGTCTATACAGGGGTACAATATGTTTGACGAGTGTAGTAGACTAGATGACTCTCTCTTCAACTTTACTGTCTCGGAAGGCGCTTTGAACTGAGGAGGCTGCCGACAGTCTCCGTCACTACTATGTCGAGGTCTCCTGACACCATTTTCGTGGAAAGCTCGAAGCAACATCCTAGCTGGGACACTATCCACCCCGTGCAATGAGAAGTGTCCTGCCCTGTGCTTCAACGGTCACCCGACCCAAGTTTCAGGTGCCCTGCCCACTCCTGTGGTCAACAGGTCAGCGTCCATCTCTCCATATATGAGAAAGACACCGCTGACAACCTGTCGACATCATAATCTTGGCAAGCAGAGAGTGCTGCACCTATCTGCACACAGACTCCATGGCCTCCTCTACTGAATTCACGGTGCCCTCCCCAGGAAGACTGAAGTCTATTGCCTCTGCCTCCTGAAAGGCAAAGATGTGGCACTTTTCGGGCTGCAGAGAGTGCCCCCGCACGGAATGCCAAGCTCTCCTGCTCTCCATCGTCTTGGCCCGCACATGGTGCCAAGAGCGTGGCCACCAAGAAAATCCTGAACAAAATAGATTCAGATTCTCGCAGCTCCCCAACTGCTGACTGGCGCAACAATGGCCTGAGTATCCATGGCAACCTCACCTGCAGCGGCAACAGCGGCAACAACCCTTGTAAAGACAGATCGTTGCTCATCTGGCCCAAGCAAGGCCTTGGTGCTGATGCCACTCCTGAGCAGAACTGCAGAGGACGCCGATAAAACATGGCCCAAACCCCTGGCCTGCGAAAGTCATTTCCGGAGAGTTTGAAGACCTCGGCCAGGACGTTGGGGGGAGAGACCCTCGGGAGGCCTAGCGGCCTAGCCCCTCTAGGGTCTGGGCTGGGCTCCCCACGAGCTGCTTCTTCCCACGCTCTGCTGCATGCCTCGGCTCAGAAGACCACCAGGTCGGCCAAAGTGGGCGCTTGATGCGCTTGGGACGAGACATCCTCGGCCGCTCGCGATCGCATCGCACTAGACCGAGAACATTCCCCGCTTCTGGCTTCCAGCTCCCAGCTGATGGCTCGGCTTTCCTGTTACTAGTCTCCAGTCTGGCAGGTCGAAATGCAGTATGATGCTCTCATGTGTTGATGCAGAAATTGTAGAATTAGTTGCCACTGACCATTGAAGTTGCGATAACTAAGGCATTCCACTCGCTTTGCGGCTTAGCCGCGCAGCTGTGACAGGTTCGAGCACATTCAAGCCGAAAGAAATAAACATCAAACCCGCAAGTCAAGACGAGAGTCTGAACCCCATTGCCCAAAAAGCTTTCCACGCTGAGCGCGTAAGTAAGATCTCCGTTTAGCCAGCACCGCATCGTCTTTGCTGTCACAGCTTTTCTGTGAACAGGCACGGAGATCTGAATTCCGAACTGCACCCCTCACGAATGCACGGTAGCTGCTACTGCGTCTTCTTGTTGTCTTTGTCCTGCGCCTGATCCGAATCCTGACGGCTGGCTGGAGATTTCTTGTCCTATTGCCTTCGATTCAGGTTAGATCCTCTCCGAAGTCCTGCTCCGAGAGCTTCAAGGGCCAGGGCTCCATAGTGGAGCCTAACGCGTACAAGACCTCGGGTAACGACTCTGCTGGCACTGGCAAGAAGAGGTGATGACGATTTCCAGGTCTTGAAGCCAAGTTGAAGTCAGACGCCTCCAAATATCAAAAGAAAATACGCACCTGGGCCTCAACCCCGATGAGCTCGGCATACTCATGCATACTCTTTAAGTGCGTTCAATGAAGCAGACAACGACATGGAAACTTGTGGAGCTACGGCTTGGCAACCCGGGAGGGTATCAGGGTCCCGCAGCGCTTGAAGACTAAGCGCCCGTCTCCACCAATGAGGATGAAGATCACCTTTGCACAAGCAGAGGATGCATATGGAGCGACGATGTGGAAACGACTGGGCCAGAGTGGCAAGATTAGAGCCTGCAACATCCACTACTGCCACACAGCATGGCGACCAATGCAAAATACTCCGTCTATCAAACCGCTGCTGCAGTCAAGGTTCTGCTAGAAATTGATATTCGGTCAGGCCGAAGAGGTACTCGCTCGGGGGATGCCTCGGGTGCGAGGAGCATCCGACAAGGTCGTCTCGCTGCGAACACAAGAAGCCAGCTTAGACCCGCTCCTCCGGAAAGGTTCGACCAGCATGCGCTCCAGGCCATACAGTGAGAGCGTCAATGCACTCCTGACGCCTTTTCGGTAAGCCAAGCAGATAAGCCGCTCAACTCCAGAATCTGCAAGAGCTTTCAGGAGCGAAACTGCCTACACGGCGCTGACGGCCACCCTTCTGCGGCAGCGCCACGGCAAAGTGGAGGAACAGAAAAAGCGCCTCGGACGGGCCGACCTTTCCGCAACACCGGCTCAGAAACCCTCGTCTGAGCCCAAGTCCATGGAGAGCGTCGACTCGTAAAGTGGAGTCGGATGAACCGGCTCTCTCCTCGTCCGGGACCAAAAGCCACGCTCTCACACTCCCGCAGCTGCCAAGCGAGGGGCACTGGCACTAAGCCGTTCGGGAAGGACATAGCCTCAAGGTAGAAAAAAGCTCGTGAACAGTCTTGATTATCGAAGGGGACGGGACCCGCGGGTTGAAGGCAAGGGCACCCGGCCCATGGAGCATCGGCTCTCGTCCGGGGCCCGTAGCAGCCATCTCCCGACCTCGCTTGACACTCCAAGGTCGCAGAAGGACCGGGACAACCGGTGGGGGCTCGGCTGCTGCAGGACCTCACATCTAAAGAACAACATCTCATGGTTTCGGGGCCGCGGCAGGAAGCAGCCAATCTTGCCGACGGCATGGCCTCGAAGGGCAGGCAAGTCTGCTGCAACTTTAGATGCTCGCCCTGGAACGTTGATAGCAAGCGCCGCGTGACCAAGGACCAGCTTCGACACAACTTGACCAGTTACGTACTATAAGAGGCGCCCTGATCCTAATCTTCCGAAACGCAACTGTCGGCAGCTACGCACTTGAAGTAAGCAGTCACCTTCTGCATGCAATCTTCGACTGCTAGACAGCTCCAGTCTCGCTCTTGAAGAGATACGGGAGTATCAAACACAAAGCAAGGACGGCCTGCGGCTGCTCGTATGAAAGCTGAGGGCAGTACCCAGAGGGACAAGTGGTGCAATAAGGTCCAAGAGCACAAGGGTCCTGTCCCAGGACTAGGCGACGGGAAGCCAAAGTGGTAAATGCTCAGCACCACCGTCGTCGGAACTGTCGAGACTGCGCTTGCGCCGAAGTTGTCATGCGTCTTCGTCACTCCATGCCCCCGGCCCTTGGTTCCTCCTTCGACCATGCAGTTGCCTTCCTGTCACTTCTTATAGGTTGGTCTTGAGATCGTTCTGTTCGAGGGTTCAATCTCGTCAGCTTCTCCGCAGTCCATCCTGCCCAGGAGCTCGAGACACTCTCCTCGTTCCTGGTGCCCGCATGAAATGTTTCCGCGCTCGTCGAGAGATTGTATGCCCAGCATCCTTCAGTCGCTTCAAGCGTTCTGTGGGCCGAGACGTCTCACAAACACAGGACCCATTCAGACATAAGCATGGAGCACAACTGTGACAGAAACTTTCCCAGTATGCTAGCAGCTAGCACTACGACAGGATGCAACTATTGCTCATGTGGCAAGTGCCTCAGACCACACCACGAACCGTAGAGCGAGGCCGTCAGCAAGCCACCCACGGCTGAGCCCATGAAGGAGTGGCCTGCGCGGAAGAACCGGTGGTGAGAAAGCATGCTCACAACATACTGAAGTTCTGGTGGCATTCATGCATGTTCACAGTTTCCTGAATCCGGCGATTTTCCAGCCATGACTAACCAGTAAAACACCACCTTGCAAACTCATCGTTTCTTGAAGTTACGTGTATCACCGTATCAGACAAACACCGTTCAATCACCTTTCTTCACCTTGGGAGGTTCACAAAACTCCTGAGATGACTGGCACATCGTAATCATGATATGCCATGGCAAGCCTTCAACTCGGTTCTCCCCAGGACCCCGCTGACAAAGGCTTGAAACGGGTTCACTGCTCTCCGGCCTGTCTCCAGGGACATGTTCGGAACTGCTCCACCGGCTGCCAGGGAAGAGACGAGAAGGTGCACCTAAAAAGGATCCGGAGTTGTCCAAGGCCACAGCCTTGCTCTGCGCACGCCGCATCTGCAAGGCTCGGGACTTTCGATCCAATCCCGAAACCAGGAATGAAGGCCAGCATCAACAAAGCCTGACAGCACGAGGAGGAACGTAGGAACGTTCAAGAGGCTTCTATGGAGAACAAGATCATGTTTCACACTGAAGCTGCTGCGGACGAAAACAAAGACTTTATGCTGCCACGCAGCTCCGTCTGCCGAGATCTGGAGACGTCTTATCTCCATCTCCACCACACCCTGACTATCTGATCTGATGAAGCTGATCTCAGATTGCAGTCTGTGGTTCAGGGCTCGTCGAGGAGAGAACGCTGAGAGGAGGACCACGCAGGATGCAAGCGCTGCTGCAATGCAGAGGCCATATGTGTATACCTTCAAACATTCTTTGCACAGCAACATGCCCAATCTGTCATTTTCTCCAACTTGTGCGGGGCGATCATCAAAGCAGTGCCTGGCCTTGAAGCCGACAAAAGGCAGTGTGACGAGCACTGGGTTAACGAAGCTCGCGACAATCATGATGGGCCCAGCACCAATTCGAGAATCACCTGTGGCATGTGGACTGTATTTTTTCGGCCCTGTGGTCGGACATGTGACATGTGGATCTCATATCATGTGGCGTGAGTTTGGGACTGGCGCCTTGCAACATTCGACTTCCAGAAATAGTCGTTCGGTCTGTGAGACTTTGGATGCTTTGGGGAGTTTCGTCGCGAGTCGAGCTGCGGGTTCTGTTGCATTTGAAGGCATGTGCCATTCGGAAAGCACAACAACCTCTGTCAGAAAATGCCACGTGCAGTAACGCAATACGCCAAGCACAAAAAGAAACAAACATGGCTGAATATGCCTCACTACAAGCAGCGCTGTGAGGCAACTAGATTTGTATGAATTGATTCGAGATTTGCGCATCATGTCGCAACCGGAAGCTCCAACTTTGTCCCCAACCGGCACCCTGGACACAACCAGAACCGAGCATCTCCCCGTGTTGCTTTCCCGCTGTCCTGTTTTCTGATTGATACTCCACCCTGGGTTTTGCAGCTGAGTTCATCCATGGGGATTCGCCATGCACCTCCCATGCTAAGCAGCAAGAATGCCCCAATACAAGCACCCGCGAGAAAAAAAACACCCCGAATTCTGAGGACGAAACCCGAAAACACCCATGCAGAACAACGTGAAAGCCTCAACTTTGCTTTGCCTCTCGGAATGCGCCAGCGCTAACCCCCTCGTCGCTGCAATCGCGAAGCGAAGCGTTGGCGGTTGTGAGAGTTGTGAGTTGCTTTCACTATCTGCGGTTGTCCAGTGCCGATATTCAAGACTTCACCTTCAAGCAAAACGTGATGCGCCGTCGAGTTAAAATTCGGAAGATGCCTCAGGCGGCAACGGCTGCGGCAATCGGGACATATTCACAAACCAAGCGCGGGGTCGGGTAAAAAAATCAGGGTCGGAAAAAAGAGCAGCCCAAAGATTTTGTCACTTGTCCTGCAAAGATACATGCACCTTCTTTTCAGAGGTTCAAACGGGCACAACATTCATCCGGAAATCAAGGGAGGACTTTTTCGAGGACGTCAGTGGTGGCTTCACGACGGAGCAGATTCGATGGGAAGAGACACCAGGTAAGAGCGGGTTGTTTGAGAAGAGACACAAGGTAAGACGATTTCAAGGAGAGGCGAGGTTTCGATAAAAATCCATGAGTACATTCCCTCTAGACATATACATGCATGTCACTTTTCGATATAACCATACTGTTCCATGCATATACCTTCCCTTCAGATGTTCAAGCAAAGTAGCACTGCATGATAGCGTTTCCATGTCAGACTATAGGTACTTTCTTTACGGACGGCACCACCCTCAAGGCACGTGCAACTTCGAGGCCAGACGGCGCCACCTCATGCTGGTTTCCGTCGTTTAACTCTTCTTGAACTTTCAGTCGGCGGCTTGGACGATGGCGAGTCGTGACATTTTGCTTTGTTGGCCCCTTTGCAGTCGTTTTTCAACTCTTCTTGAGCTTTGTGTCGGCGACTTGGAAGATGAGGAGTTGCGATCTTCGCGCAGCTATCTCTCGAACCGTCCGCGTTGTTTCCCTTCTGCTTCGCTGCGACCACGCGTCGCCCATAAAAGCGTACGGCATGTGTCTGTGGAGCACTATACAGCGAAGGCCTACCATGGCCACTTTTCAAAGTGTCTTCCGAGAACTCTCACGGGCGGACGTCCACGTGGGCGTCCCGGCCAGAGAAATACAGTCTTGTTGCAGGCTTACCCTCTGATACGCAGGCTATGCCCTTGGCGCAGCGCCAAGAACCGCGGCTTCGTGTTTCGGCTCCTTCGTTAACAGTGACACTTGCAAGCACCATTTGTCCGAGGTCCGCTCTTTCGATCTGATTCCATGGAAAACAAGGCGCCCAGGGGGCTGCGTGGCGTATTCTTTTGCAGTTAGCCGAACGAACATACATCTTCGTGAGGCCTGCTCGGTGCGGAAGTGTAAAAACAAAAAACATCTGCGGGCTTCGCGATGCTCATCTTCTGGCTGCAGCAGGTCAGCTGCTTCGCGTTCGCTTGCTTTGGTGCTCTTGTGAACTTCCGGCAGGCGGTTTGGGAAAGACGAAGAAGCCCCTCACGTCTTGTTCTGTTGTGGTGCTCTTTGTTTCTCATGTTAGGCATGGAGCCCCGCTCATGTTAGGCATGGGGCCTGCCGTTGCGCTTTGCCACGCGCCGTCTGCGCCTGAGACTTGTTCTTTTCACGCAAGAACTCTTCTCTGGCTTCTTGGTTTTTTTCCTTCCAGCCGGCCGCCGCCAAAGCCCGGGCGAATCCGCCGGTTGCGTCCAGCGAGAGTGACAGTGACGCAGTGACGCACAAATCGTAAATTGTTTTGAACCTTTCTTTGCTGCCATGCCACGAGCGCTTAAAAGTGACATAGGTGGCTCGGGGGTCACTGCTGTGGCATGTGCGTATCACGCCGTGTGAGCTCCGCTCTGTGCTTTCGAAAAGCGCACTCGAGACTTGTCGTGTTTACGTCCCGGTTGATCTTTCTGTTCCCGTTGCTGCCGTTGTTAGGTGTATTGCCTGTTTTGGGTTAGGATGCGACGTCAGATGTTTCAGAGATGTTTTACTTCCTGCTAGGATCGGCGTTAGATTTTATTAGTTCCTTGCAGCCCAAGGGCGGTCTCTACACTTTTTCCCGCCAAAATCGTTAAATGCTATTGCTTCCTTTTGCTGCCGTTGCTAGGTGTTCTGCCTGTTTTGGCTCAGGCTCCGACATCAATTTTTATTTCCTGCTTGGATCGGGGTCAGACTTTTTTTAGTTCCTTGCAGTCCGAGGGCGGCGGGCTTCGTCGACAGCATCAGCTGCACTCAGTCCCTAGTTAAATCATGACAAGCAACAAACGAAAATAGCGGTGAAGCGAGAGCGCACGACCTAGAAAAACCTGGAAACTAACGGACTGCGGCGAGCAGACTTGGTCGGCTGAGAGCGCAGGACCGAAAAAAACCTGGAGACTAACGGACTGCGGCGAGCAGATTTAGTCGGTTGTGATCGTTCAGTCCTCTACCTTGCTACGGTCTGACGCAGCAGCTGTCCAGGAGTAAAAGGAAGCCATCGCTTCGAAGGAAGAAGGGAGGAGTCCAAACCAAGACTCCGGCCGTCGTTTTAGTCACCAAAGTCCACAAGTCCATTGCAATGGCACCCCGCAGTGAACGTGAAGCGGTAAAGGAGGCAAGTGGCGATGGCGCTTTGCCCCCAAATTCTTCTCTGCTTTTTGTCGGACAACGCATTCTTCAACAAGGAAAAAGAAAGCCACACAAGATGGAAAAAATTGACACAACCTCTAACGTGTTTGCCCTTATCCTCTTTCCAAATTCACCTTTCAAGCCCTGAGCCTTAAGCCTTTGAGCCCTGTCAGTGCCTGAGCATACCCCGAGAAAAATGTCTCGCATATTCTTGCTTGCGAGGGTTGTTGCCCAGCCCTGCAAGAAAGTCGGGTTTGGGCGATGATTTCTTCTTGGGCTCCAAGCAGGTTGCTGTCATGCTAAACGTCCTGCAGGGCCGCTGAGACTTTTGACTTTGAAGGAGTGGTTCGGTGCTCGTACGAGTACTGTAATGCCTTGAAAGCAGGAATGACCTGGCTTGTTGCTTCTGATGCACGAATCCCGCGTTTCTTCTTGCAAGCAATGTTAAGAAGCGAATCGCATGCGAAATGGATCCAAACATCATTCCGGAACAACAGCCTGCAGGGGGAAAGGGGAGCATGGTTGCTGGGTCACCTAACCGCAGCAATCTGCATCCAGGTTTGTGAGCTCCGAAATCGGGGTTGTTCGGTCGGACTAGTCCGTTACCCTAAGTACGTGCGGAACCCTCGCAACAAAGCTCGGACAGCGGTTCCTTTTTCAACGGATGCCTGAAGTCCGGACGTCCGGTGAAACCGACCTCGGGCGGACCGGGTCCTTTTGGCGGTCGGACCGCCCGCAAAAGGAGAGTGTGAAAGTGGGTGAAACGGATCTAGTGTGAGAAGCGGAAAACGGACGAAAGTCCCACCAGTAAAGCGCGAAAGGACGGAGAGTACGGACGGACCTTTCCAAACCAGCCGGAAACCTGATCTCGCAGGAGGAGCAGGGGCGGTGGCAGGAAAGTCAAATGCAACCGACCCGCTGCGAGCCGAAGGCTGCGGCGGGCGGTTGCGTCCTATTCCAAACATCTCCGATCCCCCGCTCGGTAAAGTTCGGTCGGACTAGTCCGTTACCCTAAGTACGTGCGGAACCCTCGCAACAAAGCTCGGACAGTGGTTCCTTTTTCAGCCTGAAGTCCGGACGTCCGGTGAAACCGACCTCGGGCGGACCGAGAAAGATCTCCGGTCCTTTTGGCGGCGGTCGGACCAAAGATGATCTAGCCGAACGCTGGGAACCGCCCCAAAAAGACCATCAAGCACAGCGTCCCACCGGACATCAAACAGAGAAGAAAAGCCGCGGAATGGCTCGAATGACGGGTAGAACCGCATAGGAGAAACGGATGATATGGAGCTCCAATCGATCTCAACGCAGTCGGCCGGGCGGAAGCCAAAGTCCGCCGGGTCGGACCCTCGGCTGAGGCCGTCGGCGACTTCATTGGAAACGTGGGGGATGTGAACCACATGAACGGAAATGCGCTGCGCAGCCGTTCCTGCAAGACAAAGAAGGAACGGAGAACGGAGCACAGCCCTAGGGCCATAGTGAGACCCTCCCACGACGCCGACTCAGCGGCGGAGTTGTCGGAACGGAAGATCGTGTGACATGGAAGGTGGCCTTCGCCAAGAAGGCGGTGCAGCAGCAGAAGAAGAGCCGCCTGTGCGGCAAGCTCCCAAGTGGCAATGTAGGACTGCAAAGAACAGTCGGACGGAAGCCACGAAAACAAGCGGAGCATCTGAGGCTTCGTAAAGGTAACCTGAAAGAACAACTGGCGCTGATCGGGCAACCGGACGAAACCACCCATCCCCACCGACATAGCATCGGCGCACGCGTCTGCGAAAGCGGTGCACTCAAAGCTTGGAGGAAGGATGAGAGACCGGATATCGGATCCAGAGTCCAGCCACATCCGAATCACTTCGCAAGAGGAATCGGAAAAGCGGCATGTAGATCGAGAAGGGGACGAAGACTGCACCCGAACACGACGCTGAAGAGGCACGACAGCCATTTACGGACAGAGACTGGTTTCTGACTAACGCGCAGCAACTTAAGACCCCGGGGGAATCGCGGCGATGCCCACGGATGCCGACGGACCGGAGCACAACCAGGTTGGAGTCGACATTGTCAAGGAGCGACTGTCATTTGTCCGGAAAGATCGCCGTGAGAACGGGCGTGAAGGAGTGCTGGTCGGCGTAGAGCGGAGCAAGGGACGGGCAAAAGCAGCGGAACAGAGAGGAAAGCCAAAGAAGCTTACCGGTAAGACGCTCAACATCCCGGACGTCCCGGGATTGAAGAAGCTGCTTACCCGGCTTACCCAATGCGACCAGACGCGAGGGCTTGGCCGGGTCCAACCGAACAGTAAAACACTCAAAAGCCATCTGCCAGCCAGTCCAGACAACGTTCTGCTACAGAAAACCGCAGCCCTAAACCAAATCCTAAATCCTAAACCCGAGAACGGAAAATGAATGCAATCCGTACTCGGTCCACTCTTTTCAATGGGATCGCAAAGACCAACTGCGCCGGGCATCGAACGGGTTGACCCGAATAATGCCTTCTGTGGGGTGGCGACTGTTGCACCACCCCACGAACAAAAGTTCTACGAGCGAAGCTATAACACTTGAGTGACGGCTTCGGACTAAGGGACCGACCAGAAAGGTCCTCCGGGACTGAGCAGTCCACGCTACAGCAGAGGCTACGGCTACGAGCAGGAGGCGACTGCAGACTACGGCGGTGAAACGATGTGGGGCCATTGGCGCGCCCAGCAGGAAGCACCAAAGTAAGTGGTGCGGCAGCGGCGCACTGCCTTGAGCATCAACATGGTGAAGCAATGGCGACTTGAAGGCCTGATAATGCACAAGCAAAGTACCTATGGCAGGATGGCAGGGGTGCCACACAAAGTGCAAACGAAGATGCAAGGAAGGATAGCACGTTCCACAAGGTGCCGGGCCTAGCGGAGGCTGGCGTGCACGCAAGCGAAATAGGGTGGGTCGGGCGGGAAATCAAAATTGCGAAGCGACTTCGCCGCGACTTGACCCAAAGCGGAGTGCGGATACACAGAGCTTCCACGACATGTACTGAGGCAAAATGTCGCAGGCACTGGCAAAGCGGAAAAAGAAACTTTCCAGTTTCGAAAGTGAAAAAGGGCAGGCGTTTTTCATCGCAAAACATCAGTGGACAAGTCCACAAGTACGTTCTGCTACAGACAACCGCAGCCCTAAACCAAATCCTAAACCCTAAACCCGAGAACGGAAAATGAATGCAATCCGTACTCGGTCCACTCTTTTCAATGGGATCGCAAAGACCAACTGTGCCGGGCATCGAACGGGCTGACCCGAAAAATGCCTTCTGCGGAGTGGCACTGTTGCACCGAGGGAATTTGCCACCCCACAGCGCGCTCAAGAGGCCAAGGAAGTGTGGGCTGTAGGGAGTGGCAGATTTCAGCGAAACCAAGGTAGGGTGAAGCAAGCAGGGAAAATCTGCACTTTAGGATGCGGCTCCCAGAGATCAGAGAGCCCGAAGCGTATGCGCTGACACGGAAGGCAGTCTGGTGGAGTAGGGTACTCAGCCGGCCGGCTAAGTGCGTCTGCTTTGCAGTTCTTGGAACCTGGAACATGAGACACATCGATAGAGATTCGACGCATGGCTGCAAGGAGGGCGATGTGTGCAAGAACAAGGCCGAGAGGGTGCTTTGTGGAGAACATCTTGTTCAGTCCCGCCTCTGCCCCGGAGTTATCGCAGAGGGACGGAAGGCGCAAGGGAACCCTGCTGCAAGGAGCCAGCGCGGAGAGGGCGAGAATCAGCCCTGCCTGAGCCAGGGCTTCACAACTGGCTATCTCCTTAGCCAAGTCATTGCCGAAGGGAATGCCTGCAGCTTCAAAGTCATGAACCGAAAAAGTTTTTTGTGAACCAAACCTGGCCTAGAACCGGACAGGAAACAAAACCCCCCAAACTGCAAGATGGGCCGGATGCCGATGCATCGGCGAAGGCTTCAACGTCTGCGACCTGTAACGGGCGCATGCTGGCAAGTGGTGCAACGTGTTGCAACCAACGCTCGAAGGCTTGCAACGAACGGATGGATGCATTCGAGAGTTTCCGCCTCGAACTGCTGAGGCACTCACAACGCGGAGCCACAGTCTTTTGTGCGTCACGGCGACTTTGGACAGGTCTGCCAGAGTCGCGAAGGGCACATGGCGAGCTGAGAGAAGCTTGGCACCCGCGGGGATGGCGGTGTGAGGCGGGGAGACCGTAAACCTTAGTGAGGCATCAAGAAAATTGCGAATGCAATGCCACGATTCCGGAGCAATGCTGAAATTTGTAGCAGCCGGTGACCACAAGTCTTTGTAGAACGGGTGCAGCATGGCCCGCATGGTGGGAAAGAGGGCACAAGCCGCGTGGTGCCAGCATCTACGCTCTGCCCGCCTTCACTGCAGCTCGGCTGGCGACTTTCGAGAGAGAAGCCGATGCCTTGATGGCGCAGGAGGCGGCTGTCAGTGCCGGCCTACCGCCGGTTGTTCAGCCCGCCGCTGCGGCGGCAGCGGCTTTGGCCCCGGCGTCCGGGGGGAACTTTGACGCGGAGACCCTCTATTGGATGGCGGCGGAGGCGGTCGAGGATGTGAAGTACGGCGATGCTGTTGCCAATGTCGGGGCCATTGCTGCCGAGGGGGCCAAGGCCGTCCATACTCTGCCGAGCGGAGCTTCTTTGTTTGTGCAGTGCATCCGGGGCCGGGGCCGGGAGTCTTTCCTTGGGCGTCCGGCGGAGTGGGACAACAGGGTCTTGCCAGTCTCCATAGACGGACGGGGGATGCCGGAGTGTTCCCTCAAGGAATGTGCCCAGCGATCCGCTGAGGCGCCGGTGACTTGGAAGTTATCGGGGCCTCGTACTGCAAAGTGGTGCTTAGCTTACCTGGCTGTCGAGGCTTTAGGGCTTGAAGGCCACCATGAACGATTTCGACAGCTTGTGAAGGTTGATGCGGGTAACTGGGGTGTGCAGGAGCATTTTCAGCTATCGATGGTTCTCAAGCACGCTTTGCAGACTGATCAGTTCGATGGGTGCAACAACCTCTGCATAGAAGTGATTTTCAGGCGCCTCCAGACAATTGAATACGCTTATGCGGACAAGGCACGAGAGCAGGAGGCAAAGTCCGTGGGCGGTCGCCTCAGCCTAGAGGAGCAACAGACCTTCGGCGGACTCACGAGGCAGGCGGGGACTTTGATGGTGTGCCCTGACTTGTTGGACCATGTTCGAGCAGAGGTTGAGCGGGATGCGAACCTCGCTAAGAATCTTAGAAAAGCGAAGGAGGAGCGAGAAATCGCCCGACGAGCCCTCCCGAAGAAGGGGGCCAAGGGCGACAATGACTCCTGAGCCCCCGGCGGTCGGCCCTTTGCAGTCTGGGGCCGATTACAGCGACACAGGGCTGCTGCATGCCACCCGGAAGCCTCGTGATCTCTTCCCGCTTCCGCGGCTTCCTTCCAGGGCCAACGCTTTGAGGCCTTCGGCCCGCCGATCACAGAGAAGGTGCCACGAGAGGCAGATGGAGACCATCGAGGCAAACCGCAAACCACACCATCGATGCCTTGAATTCAATGTTTGATAGTCCGGCCCGCTTCGCCGACAAGACGACGGGGGAGTTTTTGGCTGGTGCCTCGGCTGCACAGGTTGAGGCTTTACGCCTGGTTGAGCAGGCAGTTCATGACATGGGGCGGCCTCCGGTCGGGCGTGTCATGCTCGGGAGCGCTTCGGCAGCTCCGGGCCGCGAGTGGATACACTGACCCTGACGTCCAGTCGGTGGGTTCGCTCGCATCCTACAATCCCGAAGGTGTTTCTTTGCCGGCACCAGGCTGGAGCCCCATTTCATTGGAGGCTTTAGGGGGTGCCGACGGACCACAATTCGTTGACTTTCTTCAGCGACAGCTGCTGCCTCTTGATGACGCCCTGCAGCGGGTCCATGATAGTGGAGTTGAGCATCCATACTCCGACCCCCAGTTCAAGAACCCTGTGGTCTACCGAGATTTCTTGCGAAGGCTGCGGGACTCAAACCTGATTGATTAAACGAGCACTCCTTGTCGTGAGATGGTGGCTGTTTTCTTTGTGGCAAAGAAGCTAGGGCGTTTACGCATGATCATTGACGCTCGACGTAGCAATGCTCACTTTGCCGATCCTCAGTATGTGCAGCTGGCTATACCGGCGACAGTCTGAGCAGGATTGAGATTGAGCCCGGTGATCGCTTGACCATCTGCACCGCCGACCTGAAGGACGCCTTTTATCATCTATCCTTGCCTGAAGGCTTAAGAGGGCTTTTTGGGCTTCCTCGGATCGATTGCCGCTATCTTCCTGAGGCGAAGGTTGGCTCGGAGAGATGGGTGTACCCTAGATTGGCGGTGGTTCCGATGGGTTGGTCTTGGGCACTTTTCGTATGTCAAACCTTGCACGAAAGACTGGTTTTGCGCTCCGGCCTCAAGGACTCTGCTTGCCTTCGCGACCGCAGGCCCACGCCGGATGCCGAGGTTCTCCACACTGAGTACGTCGATAATTTGATTGTGCTCGGCACCGAAGCGTCTCAGGTCCAGGCGGCGTACCAGAAGGCTGTGCAGGAGCTCAAGAACGCCGGGTTGCAGGTGCACGAGGAGGAAGTCAATGACTCAGGTGCCATAATCCTCGGATGGGAGTTCTGCAGCAACGGAGTCTTTCGTCCATCCAGGCACCGAGCGTGGAAAACTCGACTCGCAGTCCGAGGGCTTCTTCAACAAGGTCGGGTCACGGGCAAGGAGGTTGAGAAGGTACTCGGTCATTGCTGCTTTATCTGTCTCGGTCGACGGGAGGCTCTATCTGTGTTCGGCGAGGTTTACCGCTTCGTGCAGGACTACCGTGGCCACCCAAAACAGGTAAGGCTCCCCTCTGCTGTACGTCAGGAGTTTCTGAAGAGGGATGGGATCCTGCCGCTCATCTTCCGCGACCTCGCATCGCAATGGTCTGAGACAGTTCATGCTGTTGATGCTTCGGAATGGGGGCTCGGAGTCGTCGTTGGTACTGTCCCCCGCGCGGAGGTTCGGCGGCTGGGCAAATACAATGAGCGTTGGCGCTTTCGCCTCCCAGGCGGGGCCCGGCCTCGCTCCCAGACTCTTGCTCCGGGGACCGATGGAGCCAGGTGCTCAGTCGAGGAGGCGACCGGTGTCGAGGACGTGCTCAATGACGAGGACCAGGCCTTTGACAGTTTTGAGCCCGTGACGTTCGAGACGGTCGACCGCACCTGGGCCGTTACTGGCAGGCACAAATGGCGCCGTCCTCTGACGCTCCCGGTTGCTGAAGCCAGGGCCTCACTCAACGCTGTCAAGCACATCATTAGGACGCAAGCCAACTGGGGCGGGAAACATTTGCTGCTCTCCGACTCAATGACGGCTGTGTGTGCACTGTCCCGCGGGCGGGCCCAAGGGTTTCAGCTGCGCCGGGTATGTCAGCAGATCGGGGCAATTGCCTTGGTCACCCGCTGCGTGTTCGCCTTGCGGCGGGTGCCCTCTGAATGGAACCCTGTTGACGGCCCTCGAGGATCCTGGACGGCTTCGCAACCTTCGCAGTATGGTTCTCTACAGATCTCCGCTCCTTCCTCGAGCAAGCTCCTTTCAGAAGCCACCGGAGCCGAAAAAGGCGTTTCCGGCGGCAACAGTGACACCTCAAAACCCGGGCGAGCTCAAGAACCCCAGTGCACGGAAGGCAGCTCGGCGGGTGGCGCGGGCCAGAGTGAAGACTTCGTGCCCGGAGAAGACACTCCTGGAAACGGCGTCGGTGAGTGCAGCTTGCTTCCGGCGCTACCAAGTGGCGTGGATGGCTGCGCGCCATCTGGTGATGTCTGTGACGGGCACGCTCATGCCCACCGCCGAGCTCGATGCGAACCTCGCCGGCCATCTGGAGCACCTCTTCTTGGAGGGCGAGGACCTTTCGGCTGCCCAGTACCTCATCGCGGCGATATCTTTCTTTGTGCCCGCCATCAAGGCCATGGGAATGCAGGCGCTGCCACGAGTCAGACAGCGCATTCAAGGGTGGCGCCGCCTCTGTCCGCCACAGAGTCGTCTCCCGGTCCCGTTCGAAGTGGTCGCGCTGGTGTTTCTTTGGGCGGTGGAGTCCCAGAGGATCGCCCTGGGTTTCCACCTTCTTCTCAGCTTCATGCTGTACCTTCGTCCAGGGGAAGCTTTGGGCCTTCGGGCGACGGCGAAGGATGTGGTGCCACCTGCAGGCAGGCGGAAAAAGTCATCTCCCTGGACCTTTGTACTGCACCCTCTGGAAGTGGGCCAGGCCTCAAAGACTCAGGAGTTCGACGAGACCGTCGGCCTCGACTTACCGTACCACGCAGGCGTGGGGGAAGCCATGTACCGGGCTATGCACATCCAGCACCTCCACGAGGACCAGAAGGTGTTCACTCACACACTCCAGGATTTCGCGGAGTTCACTCAGATGGCAGCCAACGCTCTCAATCTACAGAAACTCGGACCGTTCCACCCTTACCGACTGCGCCACGGCGGGGCTTCTCACGATTTTCTTCACAAACTCAGAGACCTCACCGAGATTCAACATCGGGGACGGTGGCGCAGCATGGCAAGTGTGAGACGCTACCAAAAAGGAGGGCGCCTCACCCAACTTATGAACTCGCTTCCGAAGGCGGTTCAAAAGCATGCCATCAAAGCATCAAGCAAGCTCCCAGAGACACTGAAGAAGCTACGCTGATACCGGCTCGATCGCAGCCTTTGCCAAATGTGCCATTCTTCTTGGAAATTTTCTCAGGATCCGGGCGCCTTGCTTCTGCCTGCGCTACAAAAAATGACTGGCCTGTCCGAGTTTGGGATATTCAATTTGGGCCTGAGTATGACTTGTGCAAGCATGTAAACCAACAGTGCATCATTGGTTGGCTTCGCTCAGGCCTGCTGCTTGGCATACATCTTGGCACGCCTTGCTCCAGTTTTTCGCGAGCTCGAGAACGCCAGCCGGGACCTCTGCCGCTACGTAGTGACCTGCACCCCTTAGGACTTCCTCACCTTGCTCCACGTGACAGGCGCAAAGTCCGGATTGGCAACACGCTCATGCGGTTTACGGTTCGGCTTGCTACTCAGGCTCTTCAATGTCGAGTTCCCCTCTCCATCGAAAATCCCAGGTCTTCTCGCTTGTGGAACTGCCCTAGCATCACTCGTCTTCTTCGGCGAAAACAAGTACAGTGCTGGGACTGCGATTTCTGCATGTTCGGGGAGCGCTGGAAGAAACCTACACGTTTCGTTGGAGTTAACGTCCATTTTGAGCTTCTTGAACCATGGCCGCTTCTGGACTTCCATCGCTGAGCCCTACCCGAAGTTGCTCTGCACTGTTCTCGCCCAGTGCTTTCGCAACGCAGTTGTGCAGCGCCGTGCCTATGCCTTTGCCTCCTACATATAAGTATTCTGGTTTCTGTAAGGTTACCTGGACGCGGCCTAATGGCCAGGGCGCCAGCGCCTATGGGGAGCTGCGGACATGGGGTTCGAGGGCTTCAAAGCCCGCTGGGGACGCCAAGCGATGCGTGTGCTCACCGCGGCAGCCCGTCAGCATGCGGCCGCCCGTCGCCAGCACCGATTGTCGGTGTTTCACCGAACTTGGAAATACATAGCCCAAGGGCTCAGCAAGGAGGCTGCTGCAGGCCGGGCAAAGCGCCGGTTCCAGGAGCACTGGCAGCCCGGGAGGGAAGAGGAGAGCGAAGAGGAATCCGAAGTCCCAAAGTGGGAGCTGTGGCGGGATTCCGGCAACAAGGGCCATGGATATGGCGACAAGGGCCAGGGATATGGCTATGGTGATGTGAGAGGCGGCTCCGGCCCCTCGGGGGCCAAGGCCCATACCGAAGCTGAGAAGGGCCGTCCTGAGCAGGCTAAGGGCACGAAGAAGAGAAAAAAGCCGGGGGCAGGAGAGACAATCTCCCTGATTGAGCCCGAGGATGACAAAGAGGATCGAAAGCCGGTGAAGCTTTTGCCCAGGAGTTTGCCAGCTAAGGCTGGCAAGACCGGCCAGGACAAGAAGAAGGGCAGCAAGGCTAAGGGCAGCAAGGCTAAGGCCAAGCGTAAGCGACAGGAGTCGCCGGTACGGGACGATGATCACGTCCCAATGCCGGACAAGAAGGACCCGGACGATCCGGAAGGAGGGTCTGGGAGCTCCTACGGGAAAGTGGTGACGAGCCTTTTCCAAATCGCCTGTCAGGAGCTTCGGCAGCGGTACTAGCTCGGCACAGCCGCCTGCCGTCTTCCGAAAAAACAGAGTGCCGGCTGCTGTCTGGTGAAAAAAAGAGTGTCTCCGCGCTTTTTTCTCTTCTAGGGTTTAGGGTTTAGGGGTTTTTTTTTAAAGAATAATTTTCGGTTAACCTTAAGATTGGAACCTTATCCAAACGTAGAAAATATGATATAGTTTTTTCTATATCATATATATTGAAAGGAAACCATATGATATAGTATATTCTATATCATATGATGGCATCGCTGGCCATATGATATAGTTTCTACTATATCATCTAAGTCTGTGGGGCCAGATATCATAAGATATAGTTTTTTCTATATCATATGTAATATTTTGGCCTCATATGATATAGTTTCTACTATATCATATGATTGACTTTGTTTTCATATGATATAGTTTTTTCTATATCATATTTTGAGGGTTTTGTGGGCCTGCCGAAATGTGTTCTCTGAGCAGCGGAAAGCCGGGCCCAAGCAGCCGTGCAGCATGCATACAGATGCCCAGAGTCGAGCACAGACAAGGTTTGGTGCAGTTGTGTTCGCAGACAGGCACCCCTTCCTGGGGCCATTTGTTGTGTCACCCGTCCTGTAGCTTGGTTTGTTGTTGCCATGGAGATCCAGCATCCAAGGATGCGAGAAGCCTCCACGGAGGCGTGTGGAAGCCTCCACGGAGGCGTGTGGGAGCCTCCACGGAGGCGTGTGGAAGCCTCCACGGAGGCGTGTATGTGGCTGCTTGCTGCTGCAGGCACAGGGAGAAGAAGGAACTCTCCACGGAGATGTTCCGGCATTTGCTGTTGGTGCGGTGCCGTGGTGATATAGGGCCATGGCCTCCAGCAGCACCGATGCTTTTGCTGAAAGACCAGCGAAGCTTCAGAAGGTGAATGCTCTGAGAAGGAAATTGCCCCATCTCACAGCCTCGGCTTTGTCCGAAGTTTGCAAAGTTCTGCGGGACGAGGGTGTCCCGGAACTCACACAAAGAAAACATATAGCCGAGGCTGCCTGGCAACCCCTGAAAGAGAATAGGATCCTCCTCAATCGTCTGTCACTTTTGCAGACAGATGGTGCAGAGCTGCAGATACCCAGTGTCGATTTTTGGGCTCTGCTGCAAGCTGCTATCTCGGATGCCGACAGCAACTTCGCCCAATATTTTTGGGCGTGCATCGACAAGAATCCTCCGAGCCCCAGCTCGGCATGGCGGCTGATCCCCTATACGGACGAGATCGTGCCTGGTAATCCTTTGGCAGTCCAGACGAAGAGAAAAATCTGGGCTTGCTATGCCTCGTTCGTAGAACTTGGGAGCTATGCATTGCAGCACGAGGAGTCGTGGCTATGCATAGGACTGCTCCGATCCAGCCTGATGGCCAAGGCCGAAGCAGGTGTCTCTCAATGGATCTCGAAAATCCTGCGAGACATATTCATGCGGCCGGCCAACCATTTGGAGCACGGGTGCATATCGTTGCAGCGACCAGGAGGTCCGCCCGTCCTCTTCCGGGTGGTTTTGTCAATGATCGTTCAAGACGGTGGTGCCCATAAAGCTCTATGGAGCTGCAAGGGGGATGCTGGCACCCGCATGTGCATGCTGTGCAGGAATGTAATAGCACAACGATGTGATATCCTGCACAGCAGCGGGCTCCCCGTGGTCGGTTCCTCTGAGATCCGAGAAAGTAATCTTTCGCTTGCGACCGACCAATCCATCCACGAGGCCATGGCGAAACTGGCAGAGAAGAAGATGCTTCTGAATGCTGCAGATTTCAGCACGTGGCAGCAAGCCACCGGCTGGACTTATAATAGTTGTTCCCTGCTGCAACAAGAGGATCAACGATGGCTGGTCCGGCCGATCTCACAGTATTGCCGCGACAGCATGCACACCCTGCTGGTCTCCGGTGTCTTCCAGACAGTGACCTGGCTTGTTTTGGAAGCTTTGCAGAAGCAGTTTCCCAATCTCTGGGAAATCGCCGACGAGTACGTGGCCAAGTGGACCCTGCCCCGGAACATCTCGGCCAAGGCCGAAGGGATGCTGGGTCAGTCCCGAGCAAAAGCATGCAAGGAAGCCGAGACCTTTAAATGCACGGCCTCCGAAGGCTTGACACTGTCTCCAATATTGGCTTGTTTCTTCAGGCAGCTCGCCAGGGCAAATGCAAATGTTGAGGCAGTGCAAGCGATCCAATGTTTCTTGCAGCTGGACAAACTCGTGGCATGCTGCCAGAGAGCTCGCAGTGAGGGAGCGGTTTCGCCCGGCCAGATGAGAAAGCACGTTTCCGATTTCTTGCAAGCAGTGCATGCTGCTGAGTGGCAGGACCGCATGCATTCCAAGTTCCATTGGCTTCTCCACTTCGGTTCGCACCTGGAAAAGTGGGGTTTCATGGTTCAGTGCTACACTCACGAAAGAAAGCATCGCACTATCAAGAGATTCGCCGAGGACATCAAGAAGACTTCTGCTTACGAGCAGGGTCTTCTCCGAGAAGTTCTTGGACAAGAACTATATTGCTTGGCAAGAGCTGATTGTTTCGCAGCGATGCTGCAGTTGCAGGACCCGAAGCCAGCTTCTCGGAGGAAGGCGGCAGCACTTCGCAAAATCATTCCGGAGCTGACCTCGGCACAAGTGATTCATGTGGCAGAAAAAGTCAGGCTGCCCTCCGGGGAACGGATATGTCGTGGCGATGCGGTGCTGCTTGAAGGGAACGGTTGCTTGGAGTGTGCCCTTGTCTGGGCATTCGTGGAACTGGCAGGGCAAGCCTACAGTGTTGTGCATTCCATTTCTTCTCTGCTTTGCGATGACCTCGTGGGGGAGTGCTCCTGCATAGACAGCCTGCATCTGCTGCCATGCAGAGACTTTCTGTGTGCATGCACATGGAGAGACATGGCCGGAGGCCGACGACAAATCATCCTGCCTGCTTCCCTCCGATGAAAAAGATTGATCCTGCATGCATCCTGGATTTTGGGAATCTGCACGTACACACACATGCAGGCGACCTGTACCATGCTCTTTTTCCATGGATGTGCATGCAGCTGCCATTTTGGCTCCTGTAGTGGGGTTGTAGCATCTTGGCTCCTATAGAGGGGGCTTCTGGATTCTCCTTTTCTGGCCACGGCTATATATATCTCGCCACGGCGAGATGGCCCGAGAGTTGCAGGCCGAGTTAAGCCCTATGGCCGAGTGGGCACAAAGTGGGAGCAAGGCTTCGGTCGATGCTTTGATGAACAGCTGGTGCACCCGGCTGGAGAGCCTTGGCTCTCTGTCGTTAGGGCAAGCCATGCAGATGAAGCAGACGATCCAGGATCTGAGCTTCGAGAGCACCCTGTCAGAACGGTTGCTTGAAAAAGTTGAAGCCAAAGTTCTGGCAACGGCCACGGCTGCAACACCGCCGCCAGATACTACATATACGCCGAACAAGCGAAAGGAGGAAAGCAAGCCGCAGACCTTGCTGAAGCCGGAAAACTTCATCACGGTCACTGAGTGGTCTATGCTGGAAAAGTCGCCAGCACCGGCAAGGCTGGAAATCCTTCTGAAAAGGTATCTGCAGCTGGGCCTGAGGAACCTCACAGAACAGACGGTCAAGAAAGGCCTGGCCTTCCTCTTGGCACTGGCAGCCGGCGAGCTCAGTCAGATGCCGACATATGAAGAGATCTACGAAGAGGTCCAGGTCTTCAAGAGATCTTGGGAATCCGTGAAAACGGATGCAGAGCCGACTGAGGTCGGCCTGCTCACGTATCCCGATGACCCCAGCAGCTTGCCGAAGGCTCTGTTCGACCGAGCCTACAAGGCTGAGGACCCGCCCATGGGCAAAGACGTGAGGGCTGGGATCTGGCTAGCTCACATTCCGATGCGATCTACTTCCAAGCTCTTGCAGAAGAACAAGAAGCAGAGGCTGCCGAGGCCAGATGGCCAGGCCGCCGTGTCTGAGCAGCATGCGAACGAGTTCCAGAGCCGCATGGAGCAGTGCTTCGGGCGACTGGAAAGAATGCTGGACCAGGGCTGCGGTCAGAATGCCATCCAGGATGGTGGGCGAAGGGAGCTGCAGCTTGCTGCAGGCGCAAGTATCTTGCAAAGGAGGACTGCATGCTTCTTTTATCTTTTCCTTTGTTTTGCATCTGTATACACAGCCCATGCATGCTTTTCCATTTGTATACCTGCTGCAGGACCCCTGGACGGAACTCCATCACAGGAGGCGAGCTGAGCAGCAGCAGTGCCGGGGTCGGCTTTGCTCTGGGCAACCCAGCCCAGCCGGTTTCGGCTGCGACACAGCAGACCTCGCCAGGGCGACAGTCGGCCTTGCAGCTAGCCCTGCCTCCAGCCGAAGAACCCGAAGCAACGGAGTCGCTCCCTGCCGAGAACGATCTCGAGGACGAAGCTTTGTTCAAGAAGCTCAAAGATCGCAAAGCTGGGATTCTGAAAAAGCCGGCCGCTGCAGCTGCAGCGAGTGGCCAAGGAAACTTGGCCAAGAACAAGACAAAAACGAATGGCCAAGGCCAAGATCCAAAGAAGAAGGGCAGCGGCAAAGGCAAAGGAAAGTCCAAGGACAAGAGTGCTTCGAAGAAAGGCCAAGGCAAAGCAAAGGAGCAGCAAGCCCAAGGCTCGCATGGAAAGCGGAAGTTCCTAATTGTCTGGGAGGACGGCTGCATCCAGAAGAACTATGCTTCTCGCATGTACAAGCGAGCCGGAACGTGGGCAAAGCAGCAAGGCTTCTCGGAGCAGCAAGTGGTAGAGTGCCAGCGAGAGGCCCACAGAGAAGCCATTCTGCTGTGGAAGAAGAAGAACGGCTGCTAAGCCAGCTGCGCAGGGCTCGAAAGCGATGCAATGCCAACCAACTTTTTGCTTCTGCTCATGTGTGTGTGCACACATGAGCATGTGCATCACCGACTTAATCGGCATGCTGCACAGATCACGATCATTTAATTCCACGCAGTTAATGGCTGCATCCCGACTCAAGATCGCATGAGAGACAGATGCGAGGACAAAAGCCGAAGCTTTTTTTGTATATATATGTATATATACATATATACATGCAGGGCATGCATGACATGGTGCTTTTTCATACAGTATATATATGCGACCTGCTGTCGCCATGTGGCTCAAGTGCTGTGATAGAAAAAGTAGACTGCGAGTGCGTCGCGGCCACGGCCATCCTTATAAGCTCCTGCACACGTGCAGTTTCTGTGGGCCAAGGCCTGTGAAATGGGAGGAGCCTGCAGCCGCCGTTTGAGGATGGACCCGTGTGCAGGACCATGCACGGAATGCGGTGCCCCCAGTTGCTGCAGAGTGAAAAATGCACACCTGAACCACTGGTGTGCAAAATGCACAATCAAGTGGTACAACGAGAGGGATGTCCGTCGCAGCAACTACAGAAGGGCATGGAGGGAGTACGAATATATGAATATCGTGGAGTCCGGGGACGAGCATGCTCTCCCTACCGTGACCGAGCAGTCCTCTCCAGAGTATGAAGACAACTGGAATTCCCAGCAGGAAGTGGCTGAGGAAGAGGAGCATGAGGAAGAGGAGTCTGAAAACTCAGCAAGCTGAAAGCAAGCTTTCTTCCAGGCTACGGCCCCTTTTGCTGCAGGCATGCAGAATGGGATGCAGAAGGCTACGGCCTCCCATGTATATTATATATCTGCTGAAATGCAGCCGTTCTCAGGCTACGGCCTTAAACGAGTTTCTCTAGCCGGAAGACCGTGAACGACCGGCATGCAAAAAAAGACTTCTGTTTTGCAGGGTTCGGGTTTAGGGCTTGAGGCTTTTATGTTCAGGGCTTGGAAGGTTTAGACGTATAAGGGACCCCTTTATGTTACTTAGACTAACCCCCTTTTCTAAGCTATGCTAACCCCTATAGCTAAACCAACTTAACCCTTTACATTTGTTTGTAAACAGATAGCTAACCTCGTAAAGTATGTTAACCATTTACAAGCCACCGGTTCTTCCCAGTAGAAGTCCATTTTCCGAGGGCCGCGTAGCCAGAACACAACAACGGCACTGAGCTCCCAACCCCGGGTGGTGGCAGCCGTGCGGAGACGACACAATGCGGCGTGCAAAAGTCCAGCAGACTGGAGGGGAAGAGCGGGCTGCGCCCGCAATCCCAGGGAAGCATCATCAAGAGGAAGCAGGAGGCGAAACGTGCCTTTACAGTGTCCGGGGTAGGAAAACATCTGCGGATCGAAATCGCCGCGTCTGACCAGGACTCTGGGTTCGCCCCTCCCTATACCCCCCTTCCCTCCCTCTGCAACGCCCGCTCCGTCTTGCTGGCTTCTTGTTTGCGTCCCTTCCCGCCCTTCCTTTTGCAACACCTGCTTCCTCCGTGCTTCTTTGTCCTCCCTGTCCCCCTGCTGCTGCGTGCGGCATGACTGCACCGGAAACAATCCCAAACCCGGGCCTTGGACCATATTCTAACTATCGTCGGGCTGCGGGCACTCATAACAGAACTCGGAAACGGCTCTGAGGCGGCTCGCGCGCTATGGGGTAAACTTGGGTGATCCTTGCACTCGTCGTTCACTTTCGCTTCTAGAATGATCTTGGTCGGCGCAGGGAGAAGTCCACGATGAAAGCCTTCCATCATGCGGGCAGCAATCGCGATTTGGGGTTGGCCAACCAGAGAGGTCGGGACCTCCGCCTTGACTCGGAGCTCGACAAACTGCAGGCCATTAAGCTCGACTGGTGCAACACGTACAAGCTGCAAGTAGGGAGCCGCCTCAGGCTCGTCGGTCAGGGCCCTGGCTAGATAGAAAACGAGCTGCACAGGGAGCAAAACACCACAGTGGAGGAGTGGCGTGCCTTGCTGCGGATCTGTGTGCGATCCGCCTGCCGCCGCGGGTCGCCGGGCGTTGGAGCCGGTGCCACGGTGGCGTCTGCCGGCCTCGGCGGGATCTCTCCGAGGTGCGAGAGACATTTGGATGTGGCTACCATCGCGGACAGGCGACTTGATACCCGCTTTGGCATTGGGGAGCGAGAAACGGAGTCCATCCAGCTCGTCCAATAACAACCACCACCATATCTCCGGACGGGCCAACTCATACCACGAAAGATCAAAGACTCGACCTTCTGGCAGCCGTAGCACCGGGTCACAGAACTGAGCAAGGGCAATGGAAACTGCCAAAATGGGTGTGAGGCACACCCGAACCGAAAAGCCTCACTGGGCGTGCAGTGTCGCAGCATGAGTGCGCGGCAAAGTCCACCACGCGCGCGCCGAAATTCTGAGGGCTGATCTTCGAGAGGGGGAGCGGCAGGAGGGAAAGGCAATCTTCTCTGCAGGGGAGAGGTTCCCCAAGAGCCGTTGCGCTAGCAGGGCCCTCTATGAGCCGCTGTCGTCTGCCCGTGGCCTGAAAGGCGCGCAGGATTGCATGTTGTTCGCCGAAGTCGTCCTCGTCCTCAGGTGGAACACTCTTACTGGGGATTGCCTTTACCCCTGGCACCAGACGGTCGGGCGGGATGTCAACAGCATCCAGCAAAGTAGCCACACGCTGGCTCCATGCCGTGTCAGGTGCCTTGGGGACGGAAGCGGCGCAACTTTGATCTCACTAGCCCCTCACTTTTTGCGTCCAGGTACTGGTGACGGGCTGCCGCGGTGAGCACACGCATCGCTTGGCGTCCCCAGCGGGCTTTGAAGCCCTCGAACCCCCCATTTTGGGAGGGCGGGAGGGAAAGACTTGAGCAGCACACATTGCGGCCGCAACCATGTATCCACCTCCAGCAAATGGGGCACTTTTTGGACGGGCCCTTGGGCCCGTCCGAAGGCTTGTTGTCCTTCTTCTCATCTGCTGCCTTCTCATTTGCCCCCTTCAATTTTTCATCCACCTCCTTGTCCTTTTTCTCTGATCTCTCTCGTTCGCTTTTCTTTTCATCCTTCTCCTTCTCCTTTTTATCCTTCTTTCCCTTTTTTTTCTCCTTCTTTTCCTTTCTGGCCTGCTCTTCTTCTG